CTCCTTAATAAATTCAGTCTTGAACCCAGCGGCAACTACAATGTTTTCTGCTAAAAGCCTATCGGCAGTAGCAGATTCATCATCCGTAGATTTCTCTGGAATGTTTATGCCAACTAGATATGGTTCTTTTTCCTTCCTTTCAAAATATTCTTCAATGGTTTCCAATACTTGTTCAGTTTCAATTTTTGAATGTTCGAAGTTGCTCAAAGACGAAGCTTTCAAATTATTAATATCATTCTTAAGTTCTTCGTTGACCTTTGTAAGTATTTCAACAGATCTCGTTAAATGCATAATTAGATCTTGTTGTTTTTCATATTTCTCAGTAATGGAAGCTAGTTGTGACCTCAGATCCTCGATAGTTTTATTTAAATAGCTAACATCATTATTGGAAACGGTCCCATTTATTGCTACTTTTTTCGGTGCCATTTGGAATTTCCTTTTATCTTATAAGTGCCCAGTATAAAACGATAATAACAATATACTTTTAGAAAGAATATCTTTTAGACAAATGCAATAAGAATTTAGCGAAGCACAATATAATATAATAGAAATAATGAATTATTGACGGAGAGAATAACCGACACCACCGCGCACGAGAATAGCAAATGCTAAATAAAAATCCTTTTGTAATATTACCGTAAATTTCCTTATAGTGATTATAATCACTTTGCGCTTTGACCTATCCTATTTGAAAAGCGGGAGATAACTTCCTCAAACTTTCTTTTATCCATTAGGTAATATCCATTGGGTAAAATTCTCATACGTTAATTCCATAATAGCAATTCCATAATTCCATAATTCCAGAATAATAATACCTAGCACACTATGGCACCAGGACCCCGTTCCACTAATCCTTCTCAAAACCCATTATACCGCTTGCAAAATCAGTTCACCATGTTGAAACCCTTTGGTCCTCTTAAATCTATCATATTTCTGTGATAGTAATATAAATGCAAATGGTATCTGAGCGAAGGTGAATGCGATCATGTGCGATTTTATTCATTCGTTGGACTAGTAAAATGTATCTTAAAAGGTCAAAGGTCGCCCATGCCTCGCTTCCATATAGCAAAACCGAGCGAATTAAGACTAAATAGAAGCAGGCTTCCACTTTTATAGAGATTTCGCGAATCCATTTCTAATTGCCATTATACGGACTGTAATTTCGCTTGGCCATTTGGGAGCATATTAGAGTGTATTCGAGATATTTGATAAATCTGGTACTCCCTCAATCGGCAGTGAATTGATAAAAATAGATGTTTTATCAGTTTCTGATAAGACAAGAAGGCGAAAAGACTTTCGTTTTACATTGACCCTGAGTCCGATTTTCGTTGCAGTTAATATGTTATTTAGCATCATTTGCATTTCGTCACAACCATTGGCAAAAAGGACTACATTATCAGCGTATTCAAGATCTATGAGATCTGTGATAGGATGCTCTGGACTGATTTGTACACCTTTTGAGTGTCGACAAGTAATGTCCATTATCCAGTCCATCGCATAGTTGAATATTACAGAGGAAAGGACGAAACCTTGATGAATACCAATTCTTATTTCGAAATTCCCCATATATATAGACCTGTGCCGACGTACAATGATAAAAATTTATGAATCGAATGATTTTATCTGGAATACAGTCATTCAACATCCAAAGCGTTCTATCATTTGAATCGAAGAAAGCTGCAAAGTCGATGAAACAAGTCGATTATGGGTTACCGATACTTGAAGCGATGTTCTTACACCCTTCTTAGGGTGAATATCTGGTCAGCACAACCGCATCCTGATCTGAATCCAGCTTGATTAGGGCGCATCCTGTTGTCTCGTACTTCCATAAGTCTATTGAGTAGAAGGGAAGCAAAAATTTTTCTATTAGGCTGATTCCTCGATAACTGCAATATGTCCTGTCATCTTTCTTAGGAATTCACAGCAGAATAACTTTGCTCCAGTCTTGTATTTCTTCCACACCAGAGAGTAAATTTGTTGAAGGCATATTATGAAGCATGATAATATTTAAAGAGTTAAAGAGCTCGGAGATTATCCTTTTCTGGAATCTTATTGGTTATGGAAAACGCAGATTATTTCCTCTTCTGCTAGCAGTTCTCAGTTGCAAACGTATGGTTCGACGAGTGAATCAGCTATTTACTGGGCAATAGATGGCGTATCATGGTTAAGTTTGGCCTCAAAGAATTTCTTCCATCTTATGAAGCGATTCTTAATACTCTTAACAGGCACACTATTAATATTTGACTGATTGTTCCACGAGTTATAATTTTTTTATGAAGAAGGTGGAATAATTTCCCATTATCGCGTCGTTCTCAAGGCTATCTCGCTCCAATAGCGATTTCTCTCCTCCCGTGCTGCGTCATTGCAATTCTTCAAAGCATCTGGTGGTCTCTGGCATTCCTGGCATTCGCTTTAGCAGCATTTTCAGACAGTTGGGTAGCTTCCGATACCCAATTAGCATATTTCCTACTAGCAAATCCGAGTGTGGAAATTGCTAACTACATGCCTTCAGTTGGGACCAGTATTCATCTACTGTTCCATAAAAGTTATTGATCTTAATACTAATGAGGTGCTTCAGTAATTTAGTTCGAAATGTACGGGGGTTTTCCCAATTCTTTTAGTTTGAGAAAGTTGAACATTCCCAATTCTTTTAGTTTGAGAAAGTTGAAAGACCTTGGGGGACCCTCTTTCTTGCGAATTGTTAATTTTTGTGGATCTCGGTTTGAACCATAACATATCCATGAAGGTTGCCATTTCAGCGCTGTGATAGGAATGACTATCTAGTACGGGATTCTTCCAATGGAGATTGATTAAGATATAATCAATCTGGTAGGAGTGTTTGGTTATCCGAGAAATTCCTAGATATCTTCTACGATGCCGGAAGCATATCAAAAACAAAAAATTCATGCTCTTCAAAGTGAAAAGGCGTTGCTCTATTGGCGTACCAATGCCATATTTAGCAATTGTCGAGATCATCGCAGCATTATGATCCTACGCGCACATTCCAGTCTCCCCCGATTACGACCATGTCGTGTTTCGGTAGAATTTTATTAACAATTGAAATTCTGCATAGAATCTTCCGAAAAAGTTGGAGCATGAACATTGATAACCGAAGTATTGCAGAATTTACCTTTGAAGCGGGCATAGGCCATGGTCTTCGATTTTCTTACCGATTTCCACTCAGTCAATAAAAGCGGATCGAGCTTTTTCAAACATGACAAACGCTGCAAAATTTCGTCCTAAACACTATTATTCAAAACATTACAATGGTGTAGCCAATACCTCTGCTCGGAGCTAGGTTAATAATAACCCCAGAGGAAGACGGACCACCGACATCTATACAATATTTACGTGTGGACAATGGTTGCTTGGCTTGCAACGTCTATAAGCGTTTTGACATTCCAAGCTTCTACGGCTAACACCTCGCCGCCCGAACAGAGAGCAGTTCCTCTTGAGAGGCTTCGAGCAATTGCCTTGTCTTGCAAGTCTTGCAAGTACGTTTTATTTACGAGCATTGGGATCGTTTTACGCCTGTATTGTATACTTATCACATGTACCGGGCTGGGAATACCATGCGAGTCGCAGGTTATATCAAGAACGCCATGTCAGATTCCTTCACCACAGAATCACTTTGAAATAGAGTTACAGGTGGGTCTCCAACAGCCTGATGGTACCGCACTGAAATAATATATTCTCGCGATTAGGGATATTCCTTATCTCCTTTGATCAAAACCAGATTCAATTAGCTGCCCAAATATTTGCATGACATTAGAGATTTGGTTATTCGAAAAACGATTTTTACAGTTAGCGTTTAAAAATCTTTACAATTATGATGATACTAAAAGGACTGATACCCGATGAAATGCAATCTCAACTATTGACAATGGAAATAAACACCAAAGAAGAGTTTAAATTAACTCTAGACAAGTTGAAGTACACAAAGTCGAGACTGAGGAAACAAGAGCAAAAGCTGAGGGCAGTCTTTCCATAATGAAATCCATCCCATGTGGATTAAAAAACCAATTTCGTAATGGAGCTTTGGAAATCCCTATTCATTCTTCAGGAAAAAATCTCGCTAATTTCGAATTCTTGTCAATGGATTAAAGTTAGAACCACTCTTCGATACTGATTCTTGCGTCGATTTAATTGGAGATATGAACTCATTATATATGCTTTTTTATTAATTTAATTAGCAAATTTTCTTTTTTATTAATTAATTTAAGTGATTGTTATTTATTACTGAGTATTTAATAATAATTGCCATTAAAAATTATCTACCTATTAAATTTCTATTTTTCATTTATTATAGTAAATCGCATTTTTTTTAATAAATATTTCAATTGACGGTCGAAAGAGTACATTCTTTTTCCGACAAGTTCAACAAATAAATTTGATGCTTTTTCTAACAGCGAGCATATAACAACTCCACAGACTAGCAGTCTGAAGCCATTTCAAAAAAATAGTCACTTGAAGGATAAATAAGATAAGATAAATGGGTCCCCAGCTCCAGTCGATATTGACAAAAATATAATAAATTTGAAAAATTTCTCACCTTGTTAAACATCATTTTCATCTCATTACTTTGCTTTTCCCATAATGTTCGAGCATTCAGCGGCAAATAACTAATATCAAGCTCAGCACCAGCAGCTGCCAAAGTAGTGAAGGTAATTGGAAGGATTTGAAGATAAGGTGACCATAACGATGATTCAATTTCCTCTAGTATGAAAAACAACACCAAAATTTCAAATGGCTTTAGTTTTATGCTAAAAATTTTTTTTCATAAGAGATCTGACCAATGATAAATATAAAATATTACCACAATTATTCTGATTTCCTTACAATTATTTTTTCCTGTAATAAAAAAACTAATACAACCAAAAGAAAATGTTTTACAGCATGGTAACGCAAAGAATATTGAATTTCTTCTCATCTTAAAGCTAGGAGTTAGCGGTGCTCATGAATTTGGATGGAACAGCGTTTGACATTTTATTTTCGAAATTTTAACATAAGATTCCCTTCAATTATGAATGTAGAGAACGAAATACAGGGATACCAACAGGAAGCATCATTATTTTCATTTCAGGTCATTTTTCCATTCTAGTTTTGTACTCTATTGTACTTTATTCAATGCATCCAGAGGTCCACAGATATCACCTGCTTACCAAGTATGATCCATGTCATAAAAAGAACATTTGCCTTAGAAATATAATGTCCATGATTATTATCAAAAATAGAAAATTCTATACTTTTTGTTGACTAATATTTGCTGATACTTTGAAAGTTGAACTACTGATGATGGTGTAATTAATAATTGAAGAGGTATAGATAGAATCGTTTCGTTGATATGAAAATCACGTTTTGCAAATATTCCATAACCAAAATCACATTTTCTTAACTCTATTCCATCATATGAAATGTCGAAATTTTCTAACCATTTTAGAAATAATTCTAACTTTTCCATTGAAAATCTGAAAATCTGAAAAATGAGACGAAAAAAAAATTCTATCAAAAAGAAAAATTGTACTGCTATGTAAAGTTTTCGTGCTGGTTTGCGGCGTATGGCTTTGGAAACGCATATCTTTTATTGCATTCCTGGATTGATCCAAATGTTTGCATTATTTGTTTGCATTTTTCTTTAACTAAATGACTATAATTAGCACTTACTAATTAATGTTACCGTATCGTGTTCAACCACAAGAGTGGAGAAGGAGAAAGTTTGAGCAACTCATAGACTGACTGAGTCAGGTGAAGACATACCTATTTGCAGGTATGGTATTCAGAAAATTGATTCTGCCTGAGAAGAGGAAAAAATTGTCTTCGATATACATTAAAACCTGAATTTCTAAGCTGTGGTTACTGGTTGGTGGCATATAGTTGGATTGATCCTTTCTCCTTGCGGAAATTAAGTCGTAACGAAATGTATATAGTTCACAACAAGCTGATGAAAATAATTAGTGGTGAACAAGAGAAAAGTCATTCTTCATGGCCATGCCATACCACAGCAAACCTCTCGCAAAGGATTTGCAAAAATTCATGCAATGTGTTCTCCACACCACTCGCCTTGCATTACCTGTTCCGTCCTTCCGAGATTTTCTATAAGAGGAACAAGGGGACGCTGAAAACACTTTTTTTAGATTTTAAAAACCAGAGGACGTTGGAACGACTCTTAGAATTAAACCAATACCAGTGATGTAAATTTTAAAGCAAATGGAATACTCGTCCAACTTACGATTTTCCACTATTTTTGAAAAAATATTTTACTTATTTACTTTAAAATATTTGATATGAATATTATAGAAAAACGAATTGAAACGTTTGGTTTTCCATACTCTCTATTTAAGAGCAATAATATTAACAATAAGTGGTTCAACAAAAAAATTATAAGAGTGAGAAAATTCTAAAAAAAATTCAGCGCTAAAATCAAATAATTTTTAAAAGAATTTTTAGACAATGTTGCTGATCAAATTTAAAGAAAAATGTGTGCCTTTATATAAACATTTAATTATATAAATATTTAATTTAAATGTAAACTTTACCATGCATCACGCATTTTTCTTTTGTTCCTTTATTCTAAAATACATGAAAAATTTAAAACGAAATTGAACCAAAGTCACCTTTATGATGCCAATAAGAATTGGTCCGTCAAGGCTGCGTCCTTTCCTCTAAAATATTCAACTATGTGATAAACTGGATCATGGACATTACTTATCGACACTTAAAAGGTGTACAAATCAGTCCAGAGCATCGTATCACAGATCTTGAATAAAGGAACAATATGTAGGGAACAATATGTAAGGGAACAATATGTAGGGAACAATATGTAAGGGAACGCTGATGATGTAGTCCTTTTCATTGACAATTACGACGTAATGCAAATAATGCTAAACAACGTGTCAACAAATGCAACGAGAATCGGACTCAGGACCAATATGAATGAAAATCTTTTCGTCTTATATAAGCTGATAAAATACCTGTTTTTATCAATCCGGTTAAGGAAATGCCAAACATTAAATATCTTGGATCCACTCTAATCCCAAATGACCAAACGAAAGATGAAATTGCAACTCGGATGGCTAGACTAACGGTAGCTATAATCTTTATGGAGTCGTCGTAAAATGACCATAAAAACGAAAGTTCGCATCCATGTATCTTCAATTCGCTCGATCTTGCTGTATGACTGCGAGACCAATGAGAGTGGATATTAAGTTATCTATCTTTGATCACTCATGTCTACGATATTTTATGGGCCGGTCGAGTGGATAAAATTTTACATGATCATCCGCTCTGCTCAAATATATCTGCATTTAAATTACCATCGTAAAGCTGACACCTTCGCTGGTTAAGGACATGTTTTTCGTTGCCCACCACAGGAGTTGACGCATATTTCGCTATTTACTAACAGTTTAATTTAATTTTTTTAAAGAGTTAAATTCTATATTCTTTTAGGAAAAGATGCGCCCACCACACACCACAATGGCATTCGAAAAATTTCTATCGCATACAGTTGAATTAATCTGAGGAACTATCAATCTATAAAGATCAAATGCTTTACGAGCAATTTTCGAATTAAATTTGTATTATAAAAAATTTTTAAATATTTTAAATAAATTTACAAGTCTTATGCACAATGAATATAATAATAAACATAAATAAAACATTTCAATAAAAATCTCAACAAAACAAAATTTCTTAAAATCCTAAATAAAGAAAATTTCTGAATGCCAAAATAATTTAATTTATTACAATAAGGGCAACAACTTTCAGTCCCAATAGCTTTTACTTGAGCAGACAGCAACAATAACAAATGTTTTAACGATTCAATGAGATGAGATGAAATCCTCAAATCAATCACATGCTACGAATTATTAATTATAAAAATATTACCCGAGACGAGAAATTTGAAATAAAATATAATAGTATTAATTGGTAGCAATATAAAAAAAATGAAGCCATTACATTCGATCTGTGCCTCTTGAGGGAGTAAACTTGTCACTAAAATTCGGGAAATGCTGGGAACTCATTACTCCCTCATAATTATCATCTGATAGCCATATTTGTCTGTCAAACCAGAAATGGTATATGCTGTTATAAGAAATAAAATAAAATTGATGAAGCAATACAAATCAATAATATTGAATGCATGGAGGAAACAACATAATAAATGATATGTTTAATGTTTAATGGTGTAATTAAAAAAATATCTGAGATATAAATGTTGATTTCACTCTCAGAAAACGATAAAGTGGATTTCAGTGATTTATTGATATATATTGAGCATTTATCAACGATGGATGGAAATCTTCTTTGGTTTTTTCAAAAAACTCTCAACAGCAGCAATTTTTTCGTCAATTATTTCGACAACAGTTTGCAAAGACATTGCACAAGACCTCATTTCATTCAAAGTAAGTTGTTCCTGCAACTGTTCCAGGATGGATAATGGTGAAGCTGGGTACACCAATTTTTCAACCGTTTCTTCCATATTCTTAAAATATTTAAAACATTTATCGAAAAAAGACAGTTTGCCTAACAAACTTTTAGTTATAACAGGATAAAATATAAATTCGCCTTCTAAAAAGCTTATTAACGTAAAGTAATTCAAACAAAATGCAAATCCCCATTCTATATATAAATCGCCAAATTATGAAGGTATAAATCCTCACGATAATGGTATTAACAATATCATATTATCACAAGCCTAGGCCATGTTTTTCGCCTATCACTAAAGCGATTGACGCATAGCCAGCTGCTAAGCCCTGGATGGTATCAAAAGCGAGGAAGATTAATCAGTGATGATATAGGACAAAATATAGATGGCCCAATGATATATGGGCTCAGGCGATGGAAGAAGAAATGCCTTCTCTTACAAAAAAATGAAATAAGCAATTATAAATAAGAGTGAAATAAACAATTATTATAACGATAGTAATTCATTTAAAAACATATAAAAGGAAAACTACCTGTGTTTCGCTTAGAAAAGTCTCCGAATTCAATTCATTTTGTTCAACAACAGTATTTATTAAGGCACAGATAGTATCAATTAGATCCAGTGATTCTGAGTTTTCATTACCATCCTTTGCAAGATTAATTAGAAGTTCAAATGTGGAATTGAATTTGTTTGATGCACTGGCTTTACCAGAATGACCTCCTCGTTGAGGATAGAGATTACAAATTTGGCACTGCTAAATTTTCGAAATTTTTAACAAGTGCATAAGAAATTCTAAACGAAATATAGGACCAGAAATACAGGAAAAATTTTATCAAAATACCAATCTTATTAAATTAATAAAAAGCAAAATGGTATAACAAAGAATTAAAATTGCCAAATAGTACCTTATTATGCGGTAAACCACCAATTCTTGATGTTCCAGCTCCAGTAGCAATAATTGCATCGAATCGACCCCATGACAAGGGTACGTTTTCTGTATAATAAATTTCCACCCATACATTTTTGTTCACCCAAAAATCCGGTTCATACAATGAAGATTTAAATGAAACACAAAGAAATGGATTCGATTCGGGTGACAATTTAATTAACCGTTGCACACAAAAAATATCCGTCTAAAAAAATAATCTACGGGGGAGTCAAAAATAAAGAATTTAACCAAAAATCACGATTAACTAAAAAGGTTAAAAATTTCAACCGGTTAGAAAAATATTTTATTAAAAATATTTTAAGACGAATAGAAGATATTTATATTTAGATATTTGAGATTTTTGAAGCCTCATACAAACCTCTGAATGTTTTTCACATATCACAACTGTTACATAATGAGTAACATAGTTACAGTAAAAATCGCAAAAATACATATTTACTCTAGCTGGATCCAATAAAGCCAGAGCTGGTACAAGCATTCTAATATTGCCAAATGGAGAATGCGAAGGAAGACTTCCATCAGGAAGAAGACGTGCGGAAAAAAATAAACCTGAAAAATGAATCTCCATGGGAAATAAAACAGATCGAACAAATTATAAAAAATTATAAACTATTTTATGATCAGAGACGAATTTTGCCAGGAACTTGGCAACATAGAGGTATGTATGCGTAGGGATATATAGGTGACATGTTTGTATATATAAACAACTGTATTTGGATTTGGATATTGAAGTTCGTATTTAAAAAAATCAGCGTCAAACTCTGTCGGACGTTGTGCTATTAAAATGATTGCAATGAGTGAGAGATCTTTAATATTCCTAAGAACTCCTTCTCCTCTACCAACTCACCCCAGTTAGCCCTCTCAAATTATTTTTCCCTTGATAGAATTGAGATCCATCATGTTTCCTTAGTGCCACGCCACTGCTAATGCATTTTTGACCTGGAGATGATCTATCTGGTTATTTAGATAGAAAATCAGTCAGTCGCCATACATCTTTAATAACAACAACATAAAACAGTTCTAGTAGAATATTAACAAGACTATAAAAATCAGCTTATAAATAACAAACAGACTTTGATTGGTTCCACAAAGTGAAATTGACCTACACCTGTCACGCGGAATTACTTTTAACCATCTATCGAAAGCATTTAGAATTGCGTGTTTATCAGAATAACTAACTTCGTAAGTAAAATAAATGCGGCACCTCAAGCTTAGATAACTAAATCATTTATTAAATCATTATCACGATAAGAACACATTTATCACGATAAGAATACATAATGCAGGGAATGATTCGAAACATTGCATTAATTAACGAAAAACTAATAAAAATACAAATGAAACCACTATTCTAAGATTTGAACGGTCCATGGCGAAATGTGACCGTAATTTTTTAAGCGCCGAGATGCCACAGAAAATAATACAAAAAAATTTCTCGCATTCCGCACGCTTTTTACAATCCCCATCATTACCATTACCAAGCCATTTTCCTCATAGATCTCAAAATCATCTCATGCTCAAATACCAAATGGCTTCGTCTGAAGATTGACTTTCGCAAAGAGCTCTATTAAGGGAAAAAGTTCTTCATTTCTGGTTTCTTTCGCCAATTCTCTGATAATTTCCCAAATTAGATAAGTGAAAAACACATCCTATTCCTGAAATAAAATTCGGAACTTCAGAACCTTATCTTGACTCCATTAAAATGAAGAGCACAGCGAAAATGAAGAGTACGACCAACGTCTTGAATCGAGCCTTAGAGCCTTATTAAAATCAATTCAACTTGTTCTAATTTTTTACCATCACTATAATCTCACTCCATTACCTCTATGATTACTTCCTTTTGGTTTACTTATTTTTGATTGATCTATCATAGAGAAATGTGCCAATTCCTGTGATGGTATACGAGCAGCATAATCGAATGCTTTGTAACTATATTATTATTATCGTTATTATTATTATATTGTTATTATTATTTTTATCATTGTTGCGTATAGTATATATATATAGTATAATATACTAAATACTATATATTATAGCACATCTCAGTAAAATTAATATTATTAACGGAGATAGTATTCCAGCTAAGATGGATGAAATCATGTGAGACTCTCGGCGGGTAAGAAGAATGCACCTTAGATTGGCTGTTTCGCAACCAAACAATAGGACGATATGCGAACTTCCTTTTTGAGGCTAATTTCGGAGATTTCAACTTATCTCTGGCCATAGCGACTCGAACTGGAATTTCTTTCACCTTGCCATTAGGTAATAAGAGTGGATATTTATTAGCCCGAGATATTTAAAGTCTAATATTTCTTCAAACCGATTTTATAAAGTGCAATCTCAATATTGTAAAGACAAGATTTTTATATTGATTTTTATATGCCTTATTTATATTGATCTGAAGATCAATTTTGGAAGTTATCGACTTCTTGCAATTCCATAACTGCCAGCGAAAATGACAGCATCATTAGAGTATTAACAATATAGACAATATGGATTCACTAATCAATCAGTTTCTCCTTTAAATGATCCTAATATCTTCGCCTCAGTAACAACAATGTTCCACAAATTCTTTGCGAAAAATGTTTTTTTCCACCCTTATATCTCAACTCTAGTAAAAACTTTTTAATTTCCAGCACCAATCTCCACACTCTCAAAAAATGGAACCTTTTGATTGTGGACCAATTACTAGCAGTAAGTTACTAGAGCGATTCAAATGCAATGAAATAAACTACCGGTCTGTCGGGCCAGATTTCTAAAGTGCAAGTCGCCTGACGATATATAAGCTTAAGTGACGGAAAAAGAAGTGGCTTCTATCATTCTCAAATATAGCAACGATCGGATTCGAAATGTCCTACCATTGTAAACGAAGCCTAACTAGTAACAGCAAGAGTTTTATTCTTTAAGAGTATTATTTCCCATCATTACTGGTTAAACTCGCTCCACTGGTTTGTGGGCAATAGGCCAAGCATTCCCTTGGCGACAGAAATACAGGTAAGTCACAAGCATCACTCGGATTTTACTTTTGCGGGAAATCAAATCTCAGCATCGGCGCTCCCAAATGAACAACAACCACTGAGCCATTCTATCCCCAACAGTGAGAGCTACTGGAAGAAGAACCATACTGATGTTAACAAATACGATTTTCTTAAAAAAATTTTGAAAATCTAGCTAAATTTAGCCACGACTGATCCAAATCTATTAACCTTGGCTACGCAATTCCAGTTGTTTATATAGACTGAAAGCTTTTTAAACCATTTTCACATAAAATGCTCTTCACACTTAGCAGATTGTATATATTAACAATGCATTATTTGATTTTGTTTTCATTGGAACTGGCGCAACCAAGGTTTCTTGTTCCTTTGCTTTTTAATATATATTAATGGCGCATAACTGAAATTATTTCTAGTTCTATTCATTTATGTGTCAAAAAATTTATTTTTCACACGATAAACCAGAAATCTGAAGTGCCTTCCAAGATAATTCCAATAATTTATTTAATCTTTGCTTCAAAATTAAATTATCCAGAGGATAAAGAGAAATAATACAATTTCTCTTCATCATATATGGACGATTTTACGCTATTTCATGTAACGACAAAATAAGACTTTAGGATGTTAATTAATGGAAACCTTGGCTGAATAAAGTAATATTGTAGGATTACTGTTAACAAATTTTCTAAAGTTTGAAGTCTTATTATTCCTGAAATATCCGAAAAACTTATTTTAATATGTATAAAATCTTTTTCGTCCATATCGAGAATATAACACAAAATGCTTTCCTGCTAGGGGCGATTGAAATTCTTGAATCGATTGAAATTATTGAAAGCTCACAGAACACCACAAAAACTCTGATTTCTTGATTAATCCTAGAAAACTTACGTGACATCGATCCGTTTAGGGTAAGAATTATAAGAATTAAATAATCTTAAACAATCTTTACATATATCTTTACACATCTGATTTTAATTTGGCTAATTTAATATTCACAGTTCGCTAGATGCATTAACTATTGGAACAAATTGGTTAGTAACTTTGCTTTTGCTTCCCATTTCTACTTCAAAAAAAATTTAATATTATTCATAAAATTATCTAAATTTGCAAATCAATTCTTTGATGGCATTAGTATTGTTATTTCATTCTGCGTTTTGTCGAGTCCTCTGCTGCTGCTATTTTCAGTTTACTTTTTATGATAAAGAAAGAACATGGGGTCAATTAAATAAGAAAAGAAAGAAATAAGGCATTTAGCCAAATACGTTCGATAATGCAGATAACACCTTTATCTATATTCCCAAGAATAAGGCATTCAGCCAAATACTCTCTAATAAAAGCCAGTATAATCGTCAGTAGAAAACGCTATTATAAGGAAAGCACATCATCACCACATGGCATTGTTCTTGTTTTGTTTATTTCATAAATAATTTATCATCTAATCCATCTTATTTTTAAACATTAGTATAAGTGCATGGATTTATAGCTCTGCTCAAGTCTTTTTTTTAATAAATATAGAAATAAATCGAAAATGACGAGTTCTGCGAACTTTTAAAATTTACAAAAGAAAAGCGTTTTGTAAATAAGTGTATATTTTAGTTATAATAGATTTATGAATCTCAGTTCTCAATTCTCAACGCTTACATAAAAAGGTAACTTAACTCACTGACCATAAGTAGCCGACAACATAAAATTAACCCAAATCAAATTAGGAAAAACGAAGTTTACCGTTTTTTCCTTTCAAAAAAAACAAATTCAACTAACTAACCGCTGATAGCACCATTTATCAATGAGGCAGCCTGCCCATTGTTATCTTTTATATATTTTTCCATAATACCTCCACATCGATACTAGAAACAAAAGAAAAATTACGACTGAAATTCGAAAAGAACAATTTTCTGATATTCAGTAATAAATTTTTAAAAAAATGAATGAGTTAAAACACACAATAAACCTGGATATCGTCATAATATGGCTTTGGTTTGCAACGATATAAAAATCTGAAAGGATGCATCGATGTTCCCACAAAATCAAGAGATTTTTTATAAAGTTGCTCCATTTCATCATGTGAGAATACTGCAAATATAACAAATCGCATAAACTTAATCATTCATTAACTTAATCATACATTACTTCTGAAAAAATTGCAAAGAAAGAAAAAAAACCTGCTTTCACTTTTGTTCTACCTACAGCAATAATTTCACCCTGAGCATTTTGGCAGGATAATTCAATCTGAACGCAATTTATATAAATTTATGATTTCAAAATTTTTTTCCTTTTTTGGAAAATTTTTTTCTTTTTTTCTTTCAAATTTCTTTTTCATGGCGAAAAACTTGAAAATTTAAAGATTTAAAGGTTTTATTAAAATTAAAAAATAAAAAAATGTTTTAGAAGTTTGACCTTATACCAAGTACCCGGAGTTGTTTTCATTGTATACGTAAGTGTATCTGGGCCAAGATCATAAGCATCACATTTGACACCTTCCCAAATTTCCAATTTATACTCATTCACTGAAGCTTAAAATAATTTGATACTTTCATGATAAAATTGATATCATAGAGAAAAACTGAGATGAGAAAAGAAAGTTAAATAAGCCAATGCTAAAAGATTTATTTTATTAAACATCTTCTTGAGATATATCTATAGAGTGCTAGAGGTCAAAGGAATAAAAGAAATAGAAAAAAAGAATAAATAGAAAGTGACAAAACGTTTGCCAAAATTAACATAGTGAAAAATGAATAAATGCAGAACTAACACTGTATCGCTGGTAGTTTCCATTCAATAACACAGGAAAGTGCTGAAGGTCGTACCACTATATTGATTGACAATGGCCGAGATGGTGTCGAAAAATCTTGATATAAAGGTACATGCATCGGAGGTCGAACTGCACGTGTAGATGGTACTGAAATTTAAAGACTGACTTGAAATCACATAATTTTTATACATAAATATACAATTTTTTCTTTTAACAGCTTTCACTATTGCTGGTTGGGATAGCTCCGCTGGCTACAAGGATACTTCCAAGCTTCTTGATCCGATGTCATCGCTGATAATAATAGAAGCCATTCGTTTTCCCAACTCTAAATCCATACGTAGCTTATCTACCTATACGTTCAAAATATTTTCTGCCTGTGTCAGTCCAGATCTTGATTGGACCTCCTCGCTTTTGATGCTATCCATCACAGGGTTGAGCAAGTAACGAAATATACTACTTCTATGATGGGCGACGAAGAACATGCCTTAACCAGCGAAGGTAACCTTCCATAATGGTATTAATAATGCAGGTGAATGAAAGTAGATGCAATCAAATTTACAATTTACGGAACGTCTAAATGAAAATAAATTTAAAATCACTTGTTTCTGTCATTTTTGAATTTACTTATTTGATTCATGCATCGTTTAGACAGTTCGATATTTCGACTCATTCGGAAAAATAGCAAGAAATTTCGAAACTTATGGCCAACCAGTGACACTCTCATGCGTTCATCATATATGAAGTGTGTCGTGCCGTTTTTCTACCTTGCAGCGAACCTTGCAGCGTATTACGCCACTCTCCTGCTAGAAGATTCACACAACGTAGAGCCTTTTTTTGGGCCCTCCCAGGAGTTCTCGAATTTAAATACGTTTCCTTTCTAATTACTTTTCAAAATAAAGTACGAGCGATGCAAGCTTAAAAATCGGAAAAAGGAGATTCAACCATTTCCAAAAGTCAAAGGCATTCATATTGTGAAGCTTGAGTGCCATGAAAAATATTCGACTGATTTAAAACAATCGAGAAATAGCAGGTCAAAGAAATAAAAAATAAAACCTGCATGCGGAGTAATTAAACCGATTGGAATACGAGGTAAACGATATTGTGCTGTAGGACTTCCAGTAGCACCTGAGCTTGAGAAAGGTGCCGAATCGGTTGAAGTAGGAAAATACGGCGAAAATCTTGGCGGACGACGTGACCAAACACCACCAAGCGCGCGAAAACGCAACGAAGTGTCATTTTCCGGATAATACCATTCATTTTCATTCCACATTTTGTATCACACTGATTAAATATCTAAGAAAAATTATATTTATATCTAAGAAAATATTTCTAAGAATATCTAAGAAAATATCTAAGAAAAAGAAAAAGAAAAAAAAAGAAAATTTAACCATTAATTTCCAACCGAAGATTTATTTAAATATGAACAAAAATCAGAAAAAAGGATTTTTCGCAAAAAGAAATCTGCTTTTTCGAATTGCGAAACGGAAAATAAAATTAAAATTTAATCATATTATCACCTTTCGATTCACCAAATGAATAAATACATTTGCAGTAAATTTCCTATCGTTAATTAATATCGAAATATCGAATAATTTAATTTAATGGCGGAGAATGCGAAATGCTTCGCCACAGTTAATTTTCCGGATACAAAATTTCTTCCTTCTTGCTATTAAAACATACCTTCCATGGGAAAAATATACTTCACTAAAATTGAAGATGAACAGAAAGAACGGACACGGTATAAGCCGACACCACTGCAAGCCGTCTATTATCACTAAAGTAATAAACCATAACAAAGGAGGTATAAAAGATGGCAGTTCAGTTCATCTCACCACTTAGAAATGATCGTTCATAGAATATAGTTTCGAGACACATAGAAAAGCAATAGCAGCTAAATAATACCACAAATCCCTCCATCTAAAGTATTTGCACATTGTCGAATATGTATTTTGATGATTAACAAATTTGAAAATAGTGAATTTAAGTAGAAAATTGTGTGTGGCCAAACCAATGAATGAAAAAAAGAATAAGCCATTCTAAAGAATAATTCTGTAAAAGCAAAATCTGAATAATTCTTCGTATCTTTTCGAGCGTAATTTTCTGATAAGTTAGCGTTGAAATTCCATGAAATTCAATGCCACTGTTTGCATTTTCTTTCTTCTCTCTTAGCGAATCACCTATGGACTTTCCGGCAAGCACCATCTGAAATCCACTCTCAATTGCAGGTTTCATTCTAAGCTGGAAGCGGTGAGGAAAGGAGATATAATCGCGAAATGCGGAGTTGGTGCCGTAACGAATTAGGAATGAGTCACGCCATGCACTAAGATTCTGACGAGGAATGTGGTGGCTCTCTTTGCATTCTCCCTGCGATTAGCGAGTGGGGTGCAGCGAGTTTGTGGCCGTCACAAAGGAACGTGTGCCGGTGGCGGCAGGAATTTTCTTAGAACTTTTTTCCAAGTGAAGAATTAATGAATTTTGAGTTTCTCGCGATTTATTCCTATTCAACAAGTAAATGTTTCTGATTCGATTCGCTTCTTTCGCGACGAATTTATTTAGAAAGAATTTTATTAAAATTAAAACCCACTTGGCACGCACGGCACATGCAATCCACCTCTGCGCAAATCGCTTCAAAAAGCCAAAATCTCTTTAAAATTCTGATTTCTCCAACCACTCAGTTATTTTGGTTTAAGGTTCATTTTTATTATTTATTCTTGGCTTTGTCATTTGTTTGTTTAATATTTACTATTGCTTGTCTTTCATTTATTTATTTTATTTGAAGTTTATAATCAGTGGACACTGAAAAGTTTTATAGCGAATGCAGACCGATGAAACTTGCAAAATTTTCATTTCAAGACTCAAATGATTTTCTCTCAGCTAATAGATTTTCTATTTTAAGGACTTAAAAACTTCTAAAAATTCATTTTTTTCACAAATATAAAATTCATAAAAATAAATTAATATAATTAAACCATGTGAAATGAGAACATTCCACAATGTAAATAACTTTGATATTTTCTTTCCATATTTGAAGATGTTTATTATATATTATTTTAATGGGATCTACTGAAGTAATTTCATGGTACTTTAGAGAGTGGTTCTTAAAAAAAGTTTCAGGTTTTTTCACTATTTATAGTTTTCTTTCTTTCAATTTTTGCAGGTCTCAAATAAATTTCTTGATTTGCAAAAAATAGAGAAAAAATTGCCTAAATAAAAAAATGTAAATCCTTTTTCCTCTATAAAAATCCTTTTTTATTTTTCGCTATCACTAATATTTATTGGTTTTTGAATATTGGCTGCAAATTGACCATTCCTATTATTATTGCCAGCTGGCCGATAAAATGCGACAATCACTTGCTCGAAATTCGTTTCGTCATCAGTTGGCCTATCATTCAGATTTGCTTCAATTTTTGCCCGTCCTATTCCTATCTAAAAGAAAAGTTCTATTAATTCTATTTTAAACGAGAAATATTAAAAATAAAATTGAATATAAATTTAAAAATTCCGAGTATATATTAATTTAATTTAATTGATCACAATTTTTTTAAAATAATTTGTTGCTTTAAATTAAATTAAATTAAAAATTTATTATAAAAACATTATAAAATTGCACTTTAATTAAATATAATTTTTCATCATTAAGAATTCCTCAGAGTTTCTTATAAACTTCCAACATAAACTTGTCAAACACTTGCTGTCGTTTTCTTCCAGTGGCGTGCATCCTTACGGATTTGGCTGCTTCCACTGACTACTAACTAGAGTGTGGCCATTTTGCCAGAGGGTCATTCGACAATAAAGTTAAAAAGAGATCTCCAGCAGAATCATTGGTCGTCAATAGAAATAAATATCCGTTCCCAACTCACAAAATATTTTTTATTTTTAAATTTCCAGTTTTTGTTTCAATTTTCCAAAAATTATAAAATATTGATAATTTCTTAATAAGTTCTTACATTTAGCAAAATCAAAATTTTAGATAAAAATTTTAGATATTTTCGTTCGATAAAATTAATGGCGATTTTAAAAAATCATTTTTTCTTGTTAGCTCGAAACGTCGATAGAAATTAAATGCGGATTAATATTTTTGCTTACCTCTTCGGTAGCTTTCCATATAATCTGTGTAAAATAATTGGTTCCCATCTGCCAACCAGGTGTTTCATACTCATATTTTGAATGTTCGCCGTACCAATGTTCGACAATTTGTTCTGCATCGATAAACATTGGAAAAAATGTTATATTCTCACCGATACCTGCAAATTATGATTTATAACTGCAATCAAATCTGCTATTTACGTGGCAAATCAAAATTTTTCATTTTTTTTTTTATAATTAAATGAAAATTCGACGAAACGAAAAGTAAATAATATTGAAAAGTTCAACAAAAAAAAAACTTGATTTTACCTAAGGAATCATAAGAATTAAATGCAAAACTATTTAAGAATTCCGTTGTAAATTTTGCAAAATTGAGAAAAATGATGTTAAGAAATAAGGGATCTTATTGCTTTTCCCAAATTTTTCTGCAATATTCAATTGGAAAGATGAAAGACATAAGGATATATGGGGTACATAGAAAGGCATTACAACTGGGTTAGAGCAGTTCAAAAATTGTGTTACTAGCAAATTGTGGCAAGAGAGTTTCAATAAGATTTTGGGAATATTAAAAAAAAGGAATATCTAACATGGTTTAGGGGTTTTCTTCCACAAACGATAGGTTTTAAAAGAATTTCAACGGTGGGTAACAAGGAGTGTGATAGGCTTTTAAGAAATATTAGAAAGATTGTAAAAAAAGAGGGAGTACCACATTATGAAGGATTACCACAATGGGAGTAAGGGCTCGGAATGAACAAATTATGAGGAAATTTGAGGGAATCTTGTTTTCGAAAAAATTGCGGTGCAAGTTGATAGATATATTGAAGCGGATTAAGGAGATTCTTGTGCTCTGGATTATATCAGGTTTCGAGGAAGCTATTAACTAAGGGACTAGTATGAAGAAGAAATTACGTTTACGTTTGAACTGAGAACCAAGAATCCTCACCATTACTAGCTCCACTAGCTTGTCGCACTGGGCAATAAACCAGGGAGCTTCTTGGCGATAGAAATACAGGTGAGACGCCAGCATCACCCGGATTTCTATACAGGTTTTTCCTGCGGGGAATCGAACCTCAGCATTGGCCACAACTGAGCACCAACCCATTGAGCCACTCAATGTTTAAATCCGCAGAATGAAGAAGAATTAAGATCCCTCATTTAAAAGAAATTTCTGATAGTGCATAGAAGTTTGAAGGAAGATTAAGGAACAAGTGAAGGGATTTAAAGAGTAATAAGGGAGTTCCCAGGAAACTGTTACGAAGTCAAAGCGGAGTTTGAAAGATAAAACAATGGGAAGATTTGAAAAGGATTTCGTAAATTTTAAAAGAAATAGATGCGTTTTTTTTCCTGGAGATTATTATAGGAGGCGAACATAGCAAATAATTATAAAGATTGAGTGTTCTCTTGAATTTTTAAATATCATCCAATAAATTTTTAAGTGAATTTTTGATTCAATACTTGAAGTATAATTTGAAGTACAATTAAATTCACAAGCAAAAAAAGAGCAGAAAAGCCTAATTTTCAATTAGATGAACCTCTAGCGAATTATTTATAATAGAAAGTGAGCCAAGTTGGAGCTCCATCCTTACACTCATACATGTAAATTTATGTGTATATATCGCAGGAGTAAACCTGTCCAAAAATCCGGGTGATGCTGGCGTAGTTCTATCGCCAAGGGACTAGCTGGCATGTTTGTCTGGTGCGACAAGCCAGCAGAGCGAGTTTAACCAGTAATGGTGAGGAGTCTTAAAAAAATGTATATATGTGGTTAAAGCTAAAGCTAAATTTAGGGCCGAAGAGGTTGTGCAACGCAGCGATATGAAGAGAATTTTCAGCAATTTAAGTAAGTAGTTATATAGCGTTCATCATTTTCCGTTCTGCAAGATATCTATTAGTACGGTATTCTATTAACTATCTGTTAGCCAGTTAAATCTATTAACAGATTTTTGCCAAAGTGAAGAAATTTCACTTGACGATAGATATAAAATAAAGATGAATGGCCGGCGCCCCGACTTAACAATAATAACATTTTACATTGAACCGAACTTGCGACACTCGCAGACGATCGTATCGCTCGCTCATCTCGGTCATCGCCGCTTATTTAGTTAACAAGCCAGCATAAAAATTGTTTCTCATGTCCCTTTCAAATTTCAAATTTTCAAATTTAAATAATTTCCAAAAACTTGCAAAATAAAAAACAAAAGTGAACCTTGAACTTCTCGATAAATAAGATAACCTTTCTTCGCTAATTTTTCGGCCCAAAGTTGCGCCTCTCCGCACAATTCATCACTCAGCTTTAAAGCTGCTGCACCGTGCTAAATTTTTTGCATCAGTTAAAATGTCCTCGGGAGAGTCGACGGACGGTTCATACATAAATGCACACAAAAGAGTTGATAAAGAGTAATGCAAAAGAGAGTTTGGGTTAGCGCTTTTTCTCGCACCGAAACATCTCGTTACTTCCACAAATATTTCGTTTATATTCGATGCATCAGCTTATGTTAAAAGCCAAAAGAAAATCTCAAAAACACGGTGCGTTAAATCGAAGATTTAAAAGCACTAAAATATTGGAGCCGAAATTACGAATATTCGCAGTTTTAGAGCCTTTGACGACGGTTTTTTGTCAGTTTTGCTTGATTACTTAAATTTTTCACCAAATATTTTCCATGAATTGCAAAATTTTTTTGACAAAAATGCAAGGACGAAAAGGAATTCGATGCGATTTCTAAGCATATTAATTTGATTTATTCAAAAATAAATCTCAAGCTTTAAGTGAATTGGAGATTGAAATTGGAGATTGTAAGTATTGATATTACTGAAAGTGCAAATCGTTTGCGATGAACACGGAAGTACATCACTGAATAACATAACCATTGCATTGCACATAAGCAAAAAGTAATCGACGAAATTTGATGAAAAACACGGAAAATCGTCGAAAGTGAATTATTAGTGCGCACCCGTTTACCTGCGAAGAAGCGACACGCTTATAGTCGCTTAATCGCTGGGGAAGCGAATCAGAAATGCTGTTTGCTATTCGAAACCCATTCTGTTGAACTAAGTTTTGCATTTCACTTTTAGAATTTGAAATGAGAGGAGAAATTTTTGGTGAATTAGAGCAATTTTTTTTGAGTTCCCTCAATGTTAATTCTCAAATTCAATAAAAAAAAGAAAATTTGAAAAAAAATCTAATTATAGTTCCGCAATTTAGAAAAGCGACACAAAATAGAATGCAAAAATATTGATTCTGGAATAAATCTAATAATCCTTCTTCATTCAATATCTATTGTAAATCTATTAATCAATCGTCTAACTAGAAACGCACAATCGCTGATAAATCTTGATAAAGATCTCATATGATATTACTAAGATTTCTTCAGGGCGATACTGGCGATCCACCTGTGTTTCTATGGCCAAGGGACCCCCTGGCTTATTGCTCAATGTGACAAGCCGGTGGAGTTTAACTAGTAATAGTGAGGACCCTTAAAAAAAAGTAAGATTTCTTGGAAATTTTCCAGATTTCAGCTATTAAAGCTTTTTATGTCCTTAATGTTTTTGATAATCTACAGATATAAACTATTTTAATTTTAAACAATTCTTAATCGTAGAAAAAGTGAAAAATTTCCAAACCATGCGACGGGGAAAGCATTAAAACGCGAATTATTCATGAAAATACAATGATAGCCGTAATAATAATAATAACATTTAATAAGAACAACGTTAATAATAACTCGACCATGCCCTAGTAATTCCTTCCTTTCTCATCCATCTATTTCAAAAAATCTCAATAGATTTCCCGAATTTCGCTTATAAACCATTAAAATAAAAGAATGTTATCCTTTCATTCTAATTCCTTCCATCAATTATCTCAATCTTTTTAATTTTGCAACCGAATGATTCTCACGAATTCTTGAGAAAATGTGTAAAGCATAAATCCTGAATCTAATAATAGAATCTCTTTTTATCTTGCGAATGGTACTCGACAGATGAACAGATGGATGGACGAGTGGACAGATGGACGGGTGCGACGAATGATGTGAATCGTTAAATTTAGGATTTTGGAAACTTCTAATTTGACAAAAATTTTAATGAAACAATAATAAATATATACCTGTCGTCTAAGTCGATTATGTGCATCAAGCATTTGTTTATTAAATGGCACAACCATTTTTAATAAATAATATTCACCACAAAATTCGACGATTTGGCGAAGCTTTTTAATATCAACGAAATACTTTAAAGCCACTCCCATTATTTGCCAAATTTTATCGATGATCAATTGATATTAAATGTATTTAAAATAAGTAAATAAATAAGTAAGTAGACAGGTTCAATGGGAACTAAAAAGCTTCATCGAAATGGCGACAAATGCTAGCAATTTTATTACGAAATATTTTCATCCTACTTAAGCAAATAATAAAAATTAAACAAGTTAGCCATTATCCTTGTGAGATTTAAACGGTGGAAAGTTAGTTGGAGGAAAAGCATAGATGCCTTACTCCAGTGCAACTGCAGTGAACAAAGCCAATCTTGAAAGCTCGACAGAGACCATATGCGGGCAAACTGTCGTCAGTTAATTAACATCGAAACGAGAAATTTTAAGCGGTTCGATTAGCAACTAGAAAAATATTCAGCGGATGATAGGGTCAGCCATATATGCCACATCGTAGCCATTTTGAATAAAAACAGCTCGGATTTCGAACCGGGTGCCAATGACAAATAGTAATGCACCTTAAGGCACAATGAAATTCGGTGAACACCTAATGAAATGAAATTTGATTATAATTCACGACTTTCCCCCGCCCCCCCCCCTCCCCACCCCATATTTGTTGTACACTCTATTTCAAATTAACTGAATTGATTCAGCCAATTATTAATTTGGAAAAATTAAAAATTATTTATGAATAAATATAATGATTTACTTGAACCTTTAACTCTCAAAACCATTTTCAGACTTCACCATGAAAGCGTTTCTTATAGCTTTTTGTTAAAAATCCATTTTTTTAAAAACAATTCATTAAATGATTAATTTCACAACAAGCGCACAGAATGAATATTGAACAACACTATACTTAAACTATCTTTTATATACTAACTATCTTTTAAACAATTCATTTTTCTAATAAAAAAACAAATATTTTTTAGCTTTTAAATTTATAATTCACAGATAAGAATTAAATTAAATTAAAATTAAGAATTAAAAAATAGGAATGACAGAAAATCACTTAAGAAATAGGGAAAATTAATAATTTCACAAATTTAATCTCAAAAAAATCTCAAAAAAATATTGTTCCTGAAAAAAATCCACACCCGTTACCAAACTTTTATGCCAAATCTAATACCAAATCAAACAATCCAGACAATATATGGTACCAAATATTAATATAACTCTATTTATATATAACTCTATTTGACAAAACACTTTTGATCCAAAAAATATTTGAAAAGAATATTAATTTTTTGAAAATTTTAATAATAATTGGATGATAATAGAATAACAAATAGAACATCCTATGTTTTAACATAAAGAAATAAGCACTTAATTATTTAATAATTAATTAAACATGCATTTAATTACAGAGAAAAGCCACCAGCTATTGTAATAAATTTATACTTTTGAACTATTTTTTTAAAAGAAAGCTAAAATTATAAAATAGTGATAATGCTGAATCTAATAGACATGAAAATAAAAGACTAGAAGAGCTTAGCTTTACGCTTTAAATTGATCCGTTTCCATTCTGGCAGTTTATAAAATTCTATTGGTGTCATATTAAACGTTTCTTCAAATTGCACTCGATTCAAATGACGTTCGAGATGAGCTCGATCCACATCATCGGGTAATTTTTTATTTGAAGTTTGCAATTCGCTAAGTGGATAAATCTTCACTGGTTTACTCATATCTGGCAGTGAAGTACGCAATACTGACCGCATATCACCAACACCGCCATCAGTTTTTCCAGTACCACAAAATGATTCAATATTTTCCGCATTCAAAGATTCTGTAATCTTTTTTCATTACCACCATGAAAATTTACGAAAAACGGTTCAAATCACAATTTCAAAATGAAATATTATGAAAATGGAATAAACTATATAAAAAATTTAAGAAACAATTTAATTTAATTCAATTTAATTTAATATAAAAATCGGGCTAAAAAATTACGATCAGAAAAATGAGAACTGATCGTTCCATAACCGTCCATCGAAATATTTTGACCATATTGATAACCATCAGGGAGGGTAGCAGCGCGACCAGCCATACCAACTCTTGATCTGGGAATGTGGAAAAATGGTATTGTTGTTGTAGCCGCTTTATCAGCTCTTCCTTGCCAAAATATCCATGGTTTCGGTCGATTTAAATGTCGTGATGGCGCTAAAAACAAATAAATTAATTAAAATACGCTAATAAATTACGCTGTGCAAAAAATAACCCTCCTTTAAACAATCGCTAAAATAACTTCACATTCAAAGATTTGATGGACAAATATCGCCAATCATCAAAGAAATAAAATCAAAATCGCTCCTATACGAAAAAAATTAAATCTATTCATATTAACATGTAAAGAAATTTTTTTTTTTGTTTCTTGCTTCGTTCGACAAGATAAAACATTGAAGACAGTTGATAAATTTGACTCATTTATTATGGATCAACAATAACATTACTGCATTCATTTCTCATCTCTCATCTATAAACTTAAAAATCTCTAATAAAACTGTTATAAATAACCAGATATTTGTTTTTTCAGTAACGTTTATACAGTTTTTTGAGTACATGAAAAATTTATATTTTGCATGAATTAATCAAAAACTAACTCGGAAATTCACTAGAAATTACCTTGTTATTTACCTTGTTTGGTTCTTTACCTTGTTTTATATCTTGCCAGATTATTTTAATTATATATTTTATAATATGGTGGGAATGCAATATATACATCAAAAAACTAACAGGCATTTACAGGAGTATCATATCTAAACCGCAAATGAGGCATTCTTTTTGCAGATGGTGTTCGACTTGCATTCCGAGGATCCCAATGTAATGGTAATCTAAAGATTCGAATGATTATTTATTTTTAATTTGAAAAAAACGACAGAAAATTTTCAAAAACCTTTGTTTTTTATGCGCTTCTTCAAGGTTCTGCTTGATCACACGAGCAATAGATGAATCTTTATCGTAAATATCCAACTGTTCAACTGCTTTTTTGAGTTTCTCCTCGTCAAGCTTATCAGTTTCGCCATAGTCATCTTCATCATCATCATCAACTGATGATGAAGATAAGCGACGCTTCAATTCTGAAAGCACAGTTAAATGACTTAAATCATCAAAAGCTCAAAAGAAGAAGTTCCAGAAAATTACCTTCAACAGCATATGGATATGGTGGTGCAGGGAAATCTTCTCGCTCGATGGGTGGAACCATTCCAGGATCAGGAGCATGTCCAGCAGGATAATGAGCCATTTCTATTGGTTCTTCGTTGTCCATATGTGGCGATCTCGCTCTTGGCATATTTTTTTCCAGATCTTCAGCTGCAAGCAATCGGTAATGGTTATATAGTTTACAGAAATAAGAAATAAAAAAGCTTTAAATAAGAAATAAATAAAAATATTGCTACCGATAAAATTTACATGATGCGAATACAACTTACTTAAACGTTGCATTCCTGTCTTCAACATAGACAATCTCGACTTTCGAATTTTGATAGGGCCTAAATCGAAATTATTTAATTATATCAAATTTCTTCATCTGTGCTCTAATTTTACGAAAAAATGTAACAAAAGAATATAAATAATGCAAATAATCTATAAGAAAAATTTAAAAAAGGGACTTAATATGGAAAATTAAGTATGGAAAATAACCTTGTGGAGTGTGAAACTGCGCTGGTTGAGGTGGATGTGGTGGAATTGGTTGTTTAAGATAAGTTTGCTCGGCTTCAGGTAACAGATACATGTACGTTAAATGCTGTCCAAAATCCGACTGGTACTTAGGCTCTTGTGGTGAATGTATTCGAACAACTTTACCAGGTGATTGCTGAAAATACTGAAAATTTTTTATTAGATAAAAAATTCCAAGTTCATTATGACAAAACAATCGAATATTTTCTCCAATTCTAATTTTATATATTTCATTATTAAAATATGATGCAAAATATACTAAAAAATCAGAAAATCTGATTGAAGAAATAAACAAAAAATCTCCCCTTAAAATTATTCATTCAAAGAACTCCGATGGAAATCATAAAATCCGGGGAAAAAGTTAAATGCAATTTTTTAAAATTCGTAAATGATTAATCTATAAGTGGGGAGTAGAATGGCTGAATGGGTTGCTGTTAAATTCGGAGTGCTGATGTTGAGATTCTGCTTTCCGCATAATAGACCTTGCTGGCGAGTCAGCTGCACCTTCATCGCCAACGGCATGTTTTTTAGTGGGACAAGCCAGCGGAGCGAATCTAACCATCAATAGTCAAGGCCCTTTTAAAAAAAAACTACTATAAATAAAACGGATATCGCCTATAAGCAAAATCCGGTTCAACAAAAGGAACACTCTTCACAAAGTTATTACTTAAACAGTATGTCCCTCAATCATTTTATGAGGGAAATCCTCAAAATTTATACCTAGACTTTTTTTTGAAAAATCTATTCGGTTCATCATTTAGTTGAACCTGTTTCTTTGATAAAGTCGAAGAGAAGTCATGGACGATTTTAATGAAACTTCTTTAAAAATAAAGAAAAAAGTGCTTACTAAAATTGTATAGAATCGAATGTTCGTCGACTAATATGAGTCACAAATCATACAAGTTTAAAAACTATTTTGTAAATTCACTATGACTTCTAGTTCGTTTTCCAAGATTTCTTTCATACATCCCTTCATCCCTTACATCATCTCTTGATGTTAATAAAGCAATATTTAATTTTAACATCCGTTTCTCATAAACTATTTCTCAGCTTTTAGTTAATTTCCACAACTGGTTTCTCCCTAATGATAAATGGTTTTCGCTGTTCATTTAGATTAGACAAAAGTTTGATACTGCTAAACATAACAGGCTCTTCGCAATTATTAAAAAATTTGGCACAACGGGAAAATAATACTGAGGCTATTTCCAAATCAATATTTATATGTTTATGACTGCAAAATCCTACACTTTCCATTTACTGTATTCACATCTCAAACCAGAGAATTTAAAGAGAAAATAACTGGAATAACTGGGCCTAATACCTTCCAAAAAAATAAATTAAACTATCTATTGGTAAAGATAAAATTTTAAACATTAATGCTGAATCCTCTGCTTTCTACTCTAATCTATTGTCCACACCTGGAACACAAAACAGTTTGCTTTTTGCCTTGGTATAGTGAATCAGTTAAGCCATTTGAGATTTTGAAAAAATACTTATACTTTATGTGACCTATATCCTGACCCTTCAACTATATATACTAATTATCTCAACTAAATTTATAGAGCAATAAGAAAAAAGTGGCAAATTGCTAAAAAAAAAACTTAAAAATGAGTTAATATTTTCTAAGCTTAGAGGGGTCAACAATAAGAATTAATGAAATAAATAAAACAAGAAATAATTAATCAAAAATGCTTGAAAAGAGCGAAAAAAATTGTTGAACAATAAATTTAAAAAAAAAATGTTCAGCGAATCGAACCGACGCAATATAAATTGTGTAATAAGAAAATTCTAAAATTCATTTTAAAAATTACCAAAAATTAGAGGAGAAAACTAGTGAAAAACCATTTTGAATGTTTTTTTTTCTTTAAACTTAAAAAAAAGAAAAATTTTCACTAGCTAGCAATTTATAAGAAAAATGAATTCTAAATATAGGAAAAAAATAGGAAAATATAGGAAAAAAACTGTTATATTATGACTGGTATTCCTTTTGTTTGTTAAATTTTAAAAAAATGAAGCCTAGGCGCAAAAAAAAAAAAAAAAAAACAATACAAATCTTCTTCAAGCGAACTGCCTAATGTAAAAATCGCGGAGGGTGAACTGAATCGTTAAATTCGTAGGTTTGCTGAAAATAATGATAAACAAAGATGTGTAAAAAATAAAATAAAGTTTCCTCAATTTATGATTATGAAAAAAATCTTCAAAAATCTTTAAAAAAACACCTATAAGAAAATACCTATAATAACGGGAAAAATTCGATTTTCAAAAATATTTTCTTATCCAATAAAATCATCAATAATTGTAGCTAAACTACTTAAACAACCGGAATAACATTCAAAAAAACTATCATATTTCTATTTTATATCATAAAATAGATTAAGCTTAACACCAATTAAGCATTTCTGCAATAGAAAAAAAGATTTACGGAGAGAATTTCAGTCCTTTTTAGATGTTGACAGTGCGGATGCCATATTTCATCGCCTTGCATATACATCTCCTCACCATCGCCAAAATGTTCACCACATCGAGAGCATTTTGCGCATGTCGGATGAAACTTATATCCACCAGCCTTTAATGCAGAATTATTCATGGAATTTGTGCTAAACTTCCAAACAGCGAATGATCATCATCAAAAATTTATTTATTAAGATTTCGGTTGACTGCACCCAAAAAAATAATAATTTGAGCAAAGTCAATAATTCGGATAGCAATTTGACCAGATCAGTAATTCTTGAAAAAATTTTTTTCTAACCAATATTCTGAGCAATTTATGATTTATTATTTAAGTTAATTGAACAATATTAATTCGCTCAGTACTGCACTCATACCAACAAATAAAAAAATAATCTTCTATATCAGAAAAATTTAAACAATTAGCTTAAAAAGATTTTTTATACAAATGCCTTAATAGCAAACATCATCATTCATTATAAATGCTATATCTAAAATTAAATCATTAATCATGAAAAACACCTGCAAAACCTTTCCCGCAATATATTTATCACATTCGTAACATTGTACACCATATTTTAAATTATAATCTCGTATACAGAAAGGTCTTCCTTCATGCGACATATACTCTCCTTGAAGCACGGCGCCACATTCAGAACATTTAAAACACCAAACATGCCACTGATCACCAAGAGCCAAAAGAACCTGGCCAGTTTCCAATGGTTGCTCACAAGCGGCACAAACTTAAATTAATTTTATGTGAATCTTCAAACAGATCAGAATTTTATAATCGAAGAACAAGAAATCAATTAAAGAGAGGAAAATCAGAATTTGTTTTGCAAAATTTTTGATTTTTTATGAGATTTTATAAAAAAATGACTTTTTCTCGGATTTTTGATTTTTATTTTATAGTTTTTGTTCTTCAATATTTATCAATATTTCGTTATCAATATTTATCAGTGGCTTTTTTTTAAAGAGTTTTACCATTACTGGTTAAACTCGCTTCCCGTCGCATTGGACGAATATGCCAGAGAGTCTCTTGACGATAGAAATACAGGTGAGTCGCCAGCATCACTCGAATTTTTGGACAGGTTTCATCCTGTTGGGAATGTAACCTTAGTATCGGTACTCCAAATTGAGCAACAACCCATTAAACCATCCTATCTCTACTTGTCAATGGATACAATAACTTGGTTCCTAAGAGAAAAAGAAAAAGGACAGCCAAAGAGCCAGTGGCCTAGATTATCGCACTGAGGAGAAAGGATACAACTTTTCCTTCCGATATGAATAAATTTGCTAAAGAAAAAAAATCCTTGTAGTGTCGGTGAATCATCTTTTATCACCAAAAGACTGATTTCTTTTCCAAAAATTAATTATAATAACAACCAATGCAGCTAGCGCAATAATAAATTGTGAGCGTTAATAACTTTTAACACCAATTTTTGTCTAATATCATGAAGAATAAAAAATAATAAATATTGAGAACTCCAATTTTTTAAATTATTAATTTCAATTCAGTTTAATATCAATTTGCCTATCTTAATTTCACCTAAAATGGTAAATCTTTTTTAAAAAGAATCTTTTTGCAATATTTCATTTTCAATTCGCTGACGACGATGTAAAATTAACGGAAGATTTGTTTACAAGAATATTAAAAAAAGAACAATTGCCTCAAGCATTTAATGAAATTTCAAAATAAATGAATAGCTGAGGCAATAAGAATACAGTGAACAACTGTTCGAATTAATTATATCAATAAATTTAATCATAATGGGGAGATTAATCTATGAATTCCTATCTAAATACGGAATGGGATTAAAAATAAGGCAATAAAAAAGATTTCTAAGATATATGACAATAATTTTATAATGGGATAACAAAAAAAATCAAATGAATTAAAAGAAATTAAAATTTAAGAAATTAAAATACATGAAATACAATATATTTTGCAGCATTAATCTAAAAATTATTTAAAAATATAAAAAGGTTCTAAAACGGTAGAATGGTAGAACACAAACAAATATATACAGGCTACAAGCAATTAAATTTGGCTTGGAGGTCGATTTTTTTAAAAAAACACGGATATTACTTTGAATTCTCTTTAGATTCTCTATTTTTTAAAATGAGCACTGGCAATTAAGCGATTAATTTGGAAGCAGGAAGTAAAAATGAATAATATGCAAACCTGTTGGAGATGTTGGGGGAGAAGATGTTGGAGCATCGTTTGATGGCGCAAGTTCAGGACGGATTGTAAGCGGCACGGAAATAGCTCGAAAATCATCTGCACATAAAAACTGACCTTCAGGACCAGTAAAATAACCTATTTCTTTCAGAGATTTCGAGCATTCTGCAAAGAAAAATTTGAACTAATAACAATTACCAGAGAGCATCAAACTAAAATGCTTCGATGCAAACTCTCGAAAACCAATGCGAACCACTGAAATGAAAAATAATATTATGTATATCTAATTAATTTATAAAATAAAATTAATAACACAAATTGAAAGAAATTACATAAAAGAACCAAAAGTAAAATACTATAATTTTAATGAATATTAATGATAATTTAGTTCATTTCAGAATGAAAAATAAAAAAACTATCAACAGACTGATAAGGAGATTTTTTAGTGTCATTTGTTCATTTCGTTTATGAGCAAATCCAACCAAAAATATTGGTGAATTGATCTTAGATCCCATATGTTTAAAACGATCTAAGCAAATATGACATGATAAGATTTTATCAACCTCGCTAAAAAATCATAGTAATGTAGTGGCAGTTACATGATTTTCTTTTCTAATTTCTAATTCTAATATTTCAAGCCGGACTGATTAATTACTTTACTGCATCGACAATCTCGGAATTTTTATTCATTAAAAAAAACAGAAAAAATAAATAAGAAAATAAAAAGCATTTAAAAAATCTATTAATCATCCATTTATTAAAATGCTTCATTTTATTCAAAATAGAAATTTTTTTTATTGAAATTTCGCCTTTAATTTAATGCAGTTTGGATTTATTTTTTAAATTTAAATCTATTAAAACAGACGTTTAAAAATATATAAATTTAAATTTTATAAAAATATAAAATTGCAAAGAGAAAACAAACTTGCACATTTAAAACATGCAATATGGATATATTTTTCTCCTTCGGCTTTTAAAATATCGCCAAAACACTTCTTTTTACATGCGTAACAACGTATACCTGAAACAAAATAGAGAATTATATGCTAAAAAAGTCGCTGAAAATGAAAAATTTTTCAAAAATCATAAAATATTTCTGGAAAAAACAAAGTTCAAGAGTCAAAGGTTAAATTGAAATTCGAAAAGAAGGAAAAAAATCTCATAAAAAGAAATCGATAGCTTTTATTGGCGAAAATGTATTTTTTCCGCCAATCGATTTTTTAAGAAAAGTTATTCGATAAAATTTTTAAAAAAATTCGATATTATCAAAAAGAGATTTTAAAAAAATAATTTTTTTCCTTTTTCACTAAAATTCCAAATTCCAAATTTCTCGATATTTTTTAAAAATATTTAAAAAATAAAAATCTAAAATTTTTCATAAAAAATACGAAACAAACCCATTTTTTAATAGTAAAAATAATTCGAGAGCGATCAATTCGATTTATTCTTTGCCGTTTATTTCGCTTCAAATTCTCTTCTCTTCTTCCCGGCTTAAAAATAAATATTGGTGCGATGCGTCGTTATTTATATTGAAGAGAATGAATGAATGAATGAATGGATGGATGGATGGATGGATGGATGGATGGATGGATGGATGGACGGATGGTCGGACAAACGGACGGACAAACGGGCGGACTGATCTCTCAAAGAATTCACTACAAATACACACTGCAAATGAAACAATCGATATTAGTGATGAATGACGAATGAACAACAAAATTTTGCAAATTCTATTTATTAGTGTAAAAAGAAAAAGAAAGAGAAAAGAACATGAAGAAACAGACAAATGTCACAAACGGACACTAATAAGAAATGAAAGAGGAGGGGTTGGGTGGGGTAGGGGGAAGGGGGGGAGAGGAATGAAGGGAATCGACCGGGATTTTTTAAATGCAAAAATAAAATGTAATCGATAATTTAAGTCGTTAAATCATAGAAACAACAGTATTTCGATTTTTGTTTTTATAGAAATTAGTTGATGATTTTTGGAGAAGTACCACGCATTTATCCAATCTCTTCGGATAGCCCCGAGGCACTCAAATTTTGTTCTATATCAGAATTTTTCATCGATTGTCACAGAAGCTGTATTCATAACATTTGCAAATAATTTTGTAATGTGCAAAAACAGATCAAATAGACCGGCCAAGAAAGGTTTTCACTCCTTTCCTTAACATTTCCTGAAATCCCATTTCGCTCTGCCCGCCCCTCTCTCTTACCCGAAAAAGCCATCTGCCGGCTGCATCCCTAAAAATATCCTTTCCTTAAACTCCTCAGTACTTCTCACAACTCCTCGCATTCATTCATTCGTCGAAGCTCGATAATGATAAGAAAAATGAAATCAACGAGCCAGGAATCGAAGACTAATAGTCCGATGAAGCAAACGTTAAGTGGCATACCAATGATTTCACGGCATTTTCCTTATTGTTATTTAGGTTTAATTAGTCGAGTTTAAGGTCGCTTACACAACCAGTAAGATTTAGCACGAAGACTCGCGTTTCTGGCTTGAAGCTTTTTCGTTAAAGAAGGAGAAAATAAGAGACAATAAAGGATAATAATAATAAAAAAGGCTAATAATAAAATAATAATGGCTTATTATTATGCCATTGTCCTTTATTTCGTGGATGGATGGATTCATGCAATGTCGTAGACTAGCCTATAGACTAGCCTACGAAAAAATGAAAAAATTTTCTCGTCAGAATTCTGCTTAAGTACCACCAAAATACATTTATAAATTTATTGACTATGCTTCCAATAAGAATTCGGCCAAATTCTGCCAAACCTATCCTTAAGAAACCCGCGTAACGCCGTAGCGATCCTTCCCAGTAATTCCACGGCGAAAATTTTTGAAATAATCGCACCAGCACCAGCAACCGGACGGGCCAACTAATCAATTCTCCTTGTTCATATCCTTAATATCATATGCAATATTCAATGTCACGATATTTCAATATTTCATTTATCGCTTCTGAAAATGGATAGATCTTTTTTGTTCGATTACTCAGCGAAATTTTCGCATAAAATTTTTGAATTGTTTCGCAGGAAAGCTCGGATCCACTCTTTTCAATTTTCCTGAAAAATATCTCCGGTCAAAGCAGCAGAAAGCACTCAGAAACTTCATACGGATCACGCCTTGTCATCTTCCCTTCCCTTTTGCATTCCCTTCAACTTTCTTATCACTTCAATATTTTTTGAAATAATTGCCATCCGATTGTGTTTTTTAGTTCAACAGTTTCAAATTCAGTACAAATAGCAAATTACAAAATAGTGAATGGATTTTTTGTTGAATTTTTTTCGAGGAAAAACGAATTCTTTTTTAGACGAAGAGAAACAACATTATGCTTCTTTCTGATAAAATAAATATTCTCAAATATTTGAAAAAAAAATTCAAAATTTACATTTATCAAATAGAAGTGAAATTATCTGAGAGCGAAATTTAAAATTTACTGGTTCATAAAAGCGCCTAATAATTGAAAAGAATATCAAAGGAAACTTTTTTAACTTTATTTTCATGCCATCTTTTTTGAGAAATAAATTAAAACAATTATTGTTACAAAAAAATCATATCTTTCGCCTTGACCAGTCTTTTGGCTGAAAGTTGAGTTTTGATGGATCGATCCGAATTTGTCGCTTTTCACGAGTTCTTCTGTGATGAGCTTCCAACAATTCACTGTTCAAGACTATAACATAACTTCCCCTATAGTACTTGTATAAATTGAGATGCTGAAAAAATTTCATGTAAAATCAGCAGCAAAAAGAAAAGATGCTCATATATAGATGGAACGGCATCATAGTGAAGGAAGACGGTATAATGATGAAAGGTTTTTTTGTCTTATTTTGCCTTGCTATTTTTTAGAACATTCGGCATTATTGGTTAGACTCGCCTCGCTGGCTTATCGTACTGGAAGAAATAAACATCCTGAAAAAAGATCCTCTCTGATTGAGTGGAAGTCGGTAAACGACCGTATGGCCTATGCTCGCTTCAAAGGAAAATTCTGCAATATTTCGAACATCATTATACGCTCTAAATATGCTCTAACTTTATGTGTGCACTATGGAAGAAGGAATAAATACCAGGTGATAAAAATAAAGCAATTTTGTTTCTAAACGCAAAGATAACTAATAAGAAATTAATTCACTAGACGTCTTTTGGAAAATTGCCGCTTCCATTTTACTGAATAGCACAGATGAATGGTGCCATAAGCTGAATAGACCGGGACGTTAATGGAAGTGGCATTTAAGCGAAGATTGATGCAGTCATATGAAGTTTTTACGCCATCGTTGACAATAATAGAAATAATAGAAATTATTCTTTTTCAAAGTCCATATATATATAAATCCATATATCATGGAAATTTGACCACTCATGTCTAAGGTACATTTTACTGGTTTGCCGAGTGGATAAAATCTAATATGACTGCAACCACTTTCATTCAAATACCACTTGCATTAACGGTACCAACATCGAACGTCGTCTTCGCCCGTTAGGATACATTCTTCGTCGCCCACAAGAGTTGGCACATATTTCGTTACTTATTAAACCCTGTGATGGATGGCGTCAAAAGCGAAGTGGATCAATCAAGACTTAGACTGACCTACAGTCAGGAAAGATTTTGAATGTATAGGCAGATCAATGGCTTCTATAATTGTCGACGATGGCATCAGACCGCGCAGCTTGGAAACGTCTTACCCTTGTAGCCAGTGCGGCCAGCCCTAACCAGTAATGGTAATAGCTGTTAGAAGAAGAAGCATTCAGGGAATTCAGTGTATATTAACAAAAGCGAGTAAGTATTATGGTAGGAGAAGATAAAGTGAATTTGGTAAAGGAGGAAGTATAAAAGAATATATGGATGCATTTCTTTCTGGTTTTAAAAAATCTCTGGCATAGTTTGAAAAGATATTTAAATGGAATGAAACGATTTTTGGAGTGGAAGGATTGGAAATTTGTCAAGAAAATAGTCAAATCTAAGGGATTAAATGGTATAGAGAAGTTTGTTGAAACGTTATTAATTAAGATGAAGATATATCGTGGCCCATTCGAGGAATTTGGGCACATCTCGCTATATTTTCTAAACCCAGATGGCGTCAAAAGTGAGCAGAATTAATTACGAACTGTACAGTTAGAAAAGAATTTGAATATAAAGGTGAACTAGCGATAAATGCGCATAGATGATGGAAAAAGGATTGGCATCTGCATCTGTAAGGTATGGCAGTGGGTCCAGCACCTTGGAATCGCCTTACGCTTGGTAGCCAGAAGTCAGATAGCCAACAATGATGTTAGAAAAAAATAAGACAAAAGAAAAATAGAGGGGGACGTTTCAAGGGCATTAAAGGATGCGACAGGACCAGAGAGAAAGAGAAAGAGATATACCGTTTCCTCAAAGGACGCAGCTAGTTGCCAACGGAAAAAAAAATTGGAAGTGGTAAAGTCTGTAAAGTGAAATAACAAGATTTCGAAGTATAGGAAATATATTTAACTGGAGAACTAGGAAGAATTTCCACAAAATGTGAAGAATATAGATGAGTTTTTTCCCAAACAAGTACGCAAGCATAAATGCATAAAATATATGATATAGGTAGGTAGATTATATAGGTAGATTTTAGTCAGCTTTCGGTTATATTCCTTTTATCATTCATATCGCAATCACTAATTCTTTTCATTTGATAATTTATTTTGTTGTTTAATGCAAGCACATGGCGCTTGTCGCCTTGGTTGCTTAAATAAATAAATAAATATGAACGAATAAGCAAATAAATAATATATTAATTATGCTGATAACCATAAAGCCGAAAAAAGGAAACTATCAAAAATCTGAAGGATAATAACTGAAGAATAAAAATTTCAAAGAAAAATAAAATGTTGATCGAAATCGAATCAAAGATGAATTAGAACTTATCAAAAGATGCCGAAAAAAATTCCACCTGCAAAGTTGAAATAATATCTTCTTTCCTAATGCTTGTCTCTTCGCTTAATTCATTGATAGAAATATATGCTAATTCACCGGTTTCTGCACAATTCTCGCGCCTTTTCCATAGTTTCTCGATGATAGTCTGTGCCCAAAAACTTCGATACGACAACTGAGAGATTAAAAAATATTTAAGAATGGAACAAAAGAAGTTTATTATTTCAATTAAACAATTAAACAATTAATTTCAACATCAACATTTCAATTCTTTGCAAAATTTTGAATCGAATATTTTGAAAAATCTTTTTATACATCGCGAACTAAAAAAAAATTACCAAACCTAAATCCAATAATGGTTTTTGATCTAGTTTTTCCTTCATATCGCTAGAAATCTATCAAGGGGAACAGTTCTCTGCACGCGCGGCGAGGTGTTAGCCGTATCAGCATGGAACGTCATTTATGGAAGTTGCAAGCCAAGCGATTACTGTCCACACTAAATATTGTGTGGAAGTCGCCTGCTTGTCAAAAATCCGTCTTCCTCACTTCGGGTCTCGAGTAATCACTAATTCTGGCTCCGAGGAGAGATGCTGGCTATATCACTGTGGTGCTTCGGATAACTCCGGGTGAAATGGCGTAGCGATTATTATGTCTGACAAATGTCCTGTTCCGCTTTAACTGAGTGGAAAACAGTAAGCGACCCATGCCCGCTTTAAAGGTAGATTCTGTAATATCTCAGTCATCAGTATTTATGCTCCAAGTTTGTCGGCAGATGACAATGATAAAAACAAATTCTGCGAAACTTCCATTGCTAATTAAGTTTCTACACAAACATGACATGACCATAATCTGGCGAAACTGGAATGTGCGTGTGGTCATAATGCTTCTGCGATGATCTTGACAATTGGCAAATATAGCATCAGAGACTGGTGCGCCAATGGGGTAACGCCTTTGCCGAAGAGAAAGAATTTTCTATTATTAATACTTGCTTTTAGCATCGTAGAAAACGTCACGTAGAATTCTCCGAATGACCAAACATTCCAGCCAGATTGATTATATCTTAATCAATTGCCGTTGGAAGAATCCCATATTAGACAGTAATTCCTATCGCGATGCTAAAACGGGAAATCTTCATGAATCTGACCAAGCTATGCTCCGAGCCAAGATCCGACAACTCGCAAAAAACGATATCCCCCAAGACCCTTCAACTTCTCAAACTAATTCAGAGACAGAGAGAAAATTTTATATTGAATTATTAAAGCACCTCAATATCAAAATTTTTCTGGAACAGCAGATGAATCCTGGTCCCAATTAAAGGAATATCACCATTTTCATACCAGGATATATTAGCAAGAAATGCGCTATTTGGGTACAACCGTCCAACTATCTTAGAAGGCTGCCAAATCATGAACGTCTCGAGAACTGATTATCGAATGCTTCAAAGAAGTGCCATGACAGCAGCACTGTGGGATAGAAATCATTACTGGAGCGAAATGGTCTTGAGAATTGAGGTGGCGGCTCGACTAGGCGATAATAGGAAACCTCTCCGTCTTCATAAGACAATTATAACTAGGGGAACGATTAATGAAATGGGAAGGAACAGCAATGGCGTTCCTGTTAAGAATATTAAGGATCGCCTCAAATGGGATTCTTTAAGGCCAAACTTAACCACGATACACCATCTTTTTTTTCGTCGAATTTCGGATATAATTGATAAATTCGTCGAACCATAAGCTTACAATTGCGAGCCGCCAACAGAAGAATAAATAACCTCGCTTATCCATAAGCTTAAAACCAATAAGATCCCGAAAGAACATGATCTGCAGGCTCAACTCTTCAAATCGTCCTTCATAATGCATCTTCAACAAATGTACTCTCTGGTATGGATGAAAGAAATAATACCAAACTAGAGCAGTTCTGCTCCTAATTCTCAAGAAAAGCGATAGGATATACTGCGATAATTATAGAGGATTCAATCTACTAGACGTCCCAGCTAAAATTTTTGCTTCCCTTTTACTTAATAGATTTATGTAAGTACGGGATAACGAAATGTGCCCTAATCAAGCTGGATTCAGATCGGGCCACGGTTATGTTGACTTGAAACATCTCTTCAAATATCAGTAACTCATTTATCATTTATTTCATCGATTTTGCCTTCGATTCAATAGATAGAACGGCGCGTGGAGAGTGATGAAACGAGGTGTTCTAGAGAAGATCATTCGACTCATGAAAACATTTTTTAGTGTACTCAGGTGGGGAAATAACAGATTCTTTCAAAATACAGAACTGACGTCCGTCAAGGATGTGTGTGTCCTTTCTCCTACAATATTCAACTATGCGATAGATAATGGACACTGTTTGTCGGCACCCAAGAGATGTACAAATCAATCCAGAGCATCATATTAGATCTTAAACACGCTCATGATGTCGTTCTTTTTATTGACATAGGATGCAAATAATGCCAAACAAGAAATTCCAACAAGGATCGGTGTAAAGTCCAATAATTAATAAAAGGAAAGACTTTCCATCTTATATAGAAGAAATTGATAAAATGTCTCTTTTTATAAATTGCCGGTTGAGGAAGTGTCCGATTTTAAATATTTTGGATCTAGTTTAATACCGAATGGCTAGTCAGAAGACAAAATTACAACACGGATAACGGTACCTAGGTGTTCTCTCGGGTTGACGAAATCTCTATGAAGCCGTCGCGAAATCAACATAAAAACGAAAGTTGACATCTATATAGCCGCAATTCTTTCGATCTTGCTATAAGGAGAGTAGAGGATCAAGAAATTATATCCTTGACCAATCATGTCTAAGGTACAGGCTCACCAAGTTGATAAAATCACATGGTCGCATTCACCTCCGTCCAAGTATCACTTGCATTAACGGTACGAACATGCTAAATCCTAAGGTTGGCATCAAAAACGAAGTAGGCCAATCAAGACCTAGACTGATACGGTTAGGAAAAATTTTGTATAAATTGGTGGACCAGCAATATATGGATTTAGACGATAGAAGCAGGAATGGTTTCTATTACTACAGACGATGGCATCAGATCGCGCAGCTCTGAAACAACTTATGGCTAGTGGAATCTGCCTAACCAGTAATATGAACTAAAAAACTAAAAAAAAATTACCAAACCCAAATCCGACAACGGCTTTTCAGGCGATCCAGTTTTTCCTTCACATTTAGACAATTCATAACTAAATTCTATTAAAAGGCGTCCATAGCCTTTTTTTTGATATGGAGGAAGAACCAAAATACATGCGACATTATATTCTTCAGCTGATTCTTTCTCCTTAATAGATGGCAATTATCCTTAACAGATGCTAGCCACAGAAACCAAATAAAAATGAAATTAAATCATAAAGCAATAAATTCAAAAATATTTCATAAATTCATTTCATTATTGTCATCACTGCATTAATCATTAACTTTTGCATCTCTTTCGTTAGAGCTAATTAAATTGATAAATTTATAAATTTTTATTGCTGTCTGTTGGCTGCCTTTTACCCTACTATTTTTCGTTAATTCTCCTCGAAAAAAATATTTTTCTTTGGCATATCGGATTCTTATGACATGCTTGCCAGCCACAGAAACCATCACGGTAGAATCATTTAGCATGTATTCCAATCTTCCCTGACCATGGTTATATCGCCTTGTTGGTAAATAAAGTGGAAACAATCTCATTTATATGTTGATCCATTGTACTATGGGTCTTTCTTTGGTTGATCTTCTAAAAACCAATAAAAAAATAAATACCAAGAAAACCGCAAACCTTTGAAAAATACCCAACAATGTGGAAACCTCGATCATCTTGTTCCGTCATAACATAAAATAAAAATGGATCAGTATCGTAATAAAGTGTTTTATGATCGAGAAATAATTTAGCCAAAAGACATAAATTTTGCGCATATATCTGGAAATCTCATTAAAAAATTAAACGTATTAATATTTAAAACTAATTTGATTTCAATGTTTATGTTTTAAACATTCAACAATCAATAAATATTATAACTGAATCAATCAATATTTTATAAGGAAGGGTTAAAATCACAAATGCCAAAGTACCACAGTTTTTACTTATTGTGGAATAAAATAATTATTAAATTAGTATAAATTATAATATTATAATATTCCTTTCTCTAATTTCAAAATAATTTCATCGAAAATGGAAAAACCTTATTCTTCCGACCATCAATTTCGAAGAAAGAAAGTGAATCGGAACGGTAAATCTCATTGCCGGGCGGATGTTTCAAATTGCACTTAGTCTAAAATATTGTTAATAAATATAATAATGTTAAAAACAAATGAAGAAACCAATTTCTATCTAAAATTTTGAGAAAATAACCTAATAAGACCAGAATTATCCAGAAAATAAGATAAAAAAATAAAAAGGAAAAACTACAATGACAAAGAATTTCAGAACAATTTCATCGAAAATGGAAAGATTTATTCTTCCGACCATAAAAGAAGAAAATTGAAGAAACGCAAAAGCATGAATAAATAAGGTGAAAGAAATCTTAAACAAAATATAAAAACAAACCATGTGCCTTTTGAGACATGTGACACTTTTGAAAAATTTGAGACAGAATTCACATAACAAAATACATGAAAGAGAAGTTAACTCTTGAGGATATGGCGAAAAATACCATGGCTGCATACGATAACGGCCCAATTCAATCATTTCTATATTACGAATACGCATCAAAGCATCTTCGCTATGTCCAACTACAGACATGGATCCACGCTGACTTGGAGCTGGAAAACACAAATTGCTTTTCTGATGGAAATCTGCGGGATAATAAAAATGGATCCATGAAAGAAAAACCTCTGATGTCGGATATAGAAATAGGTAACGAAGGTGATGAAGTTCGAATGGGCTGATCATCAACTTTTGGCGGTTCAATCTCCACTAATATCTTTCTTTTGCGAGTAGCTCCTTTTTTATTTGCCATATCTCGTTCCGCAGATGAAGCGCGAGAACTAAAACGAATTCAATTTCCTGACAAAGCAATTTTAGGAAATTACAGTTTAAAAAAATATGAGAATGTATTTATAAACCTTTTCATTATGATAAGTACAAATGGCTCAATTCGACTTGACCTGGGCCAAATCTAATTCTTAACGAATATTTATAATTAATCCCAAGAGGACAAATATAAATAAAGGACAATAACTACATATTTTTTTTATTTTCAATTGTACCATTATCAATTGTACGAGTATTATTGTGAAATAAATTAAAAAAATAAATTAACGAGGAAAAATTTTAAACTAGCTATAGGGCACATAAATATGAGTTTACTTGGAAGTTTCTATCTGCGTTTTTTGAATCTTGCTACCTTTTTGAGGAAAACGCACATTGGTAAGATCAAGAGCACTTTCCTCGACCCATTCATCCAGACGTCGATTACAATCGATATAATGCACATAAAAACGATATCCACGTTCACCAGGACGAATTGTAAGAATTTCTGCTTCACCTATTAAAAGCCAAAAATTAGCAACGAAATGATGCACCCAAAAAATTTCCAAAAATATACAAGAAACGAATTTCCAAAAATTTCCATAAATTTTTTTACAAATTTTATTTCAACTTATTGCGAGAACACACAAAATCTCCGAACTTTTACAAAACATTTCCATCATTTATAGCAAAAAAAAGGACTTACGATAATCGTTGGTACCAGACATTTTCACAGCCAATCTGGCACCATCAACAAGACTTTCCACTGACCACTTTCCCTCACTATCCATTAAATAACCTGAAATCACTTATCATTTAAAATTAATACTGGGTAATTGAAAATTGCAACCACTCTGCTCTTTTAGAAATATTCCTCGGTAACATGAACTTTCAAATTCGACGCCTTCCCCTTTAAAAATATTATCAAACTTTTTGCCACTGATGCCTCATAGCAATGAATAGAACTGACACTGTAGAAGTGAAAGGCATCCGAAAAAGCATTCAGCGAATAAAAGGACCCTCTCCTTCGTCTAAATCTTTCAAACGTATGCTTTCCAAATATTTTTTCAGTGCTATAATTGGACAAATACTAACAGAAGTTAATATGTCAAGATCTTTTAATCACATAATACTGAGATAATGATAACTAAACGACAATATCTGACTTCCTTAAATAAAAAATTAATAAACCAACTCAATCGAATGAATGCAAAAGAATATAATTATGTCGATAAAGTCGACCCTTAAAAAAAAGGATGATTTACTTCCAACAATCGAATAAAATTTAATATGAACGACGGACATAATAAACAACAAATGTCAGACAATCCAAACTTCAAAATTTAAGAAAAAAACAAATTTATGAATCTTTTACACCAACTAATGAATAAGGTAACGAAATTAATAACCACAAGTTTATATGAGTAACCAATGAAAATCACAAAAATTTCATTCAGTTCGAGTAATTAATGAAAATCACATGAAAAATCTAATATCAAAAAATTAAATATATCAAGTAAAAAAGAAAATAAAAATATTAAAAGAATAATCTAAAATTAATTTTTGTTAGAAATTATGGCTGAAACGAAACAAAAAAATTTTGGAACAATATCCGAAAAAATTATTCATGATTCTTAGAAAAGCAAAGCAACTGCAAATGACTACAAATTAAGAGGTAAAATCTCGCATATTTCAGAATATAAAACGCAAACGATTCAAACAAATAAAAAAAATAAAATGTAGGAACAATTTTTTAAAACCTGGCATAGATGCATAATTAATTAAAAATTTCCCATTTTCAAAAGATTTAACCATTCTTTCAGCTTATTATATATAACATATCTGCTCAAAAACGTGAAACTAGCACAATATCAGTAGAAGAATATAATTTAATCAGAGGTTGTTTTCGTCTCCACTGCTTCTTCACCTTCATCGACTTTTGTAGCAGCCATTTTCTCCATTAATTCCCCAAGCAAATCACGAAAATCACCCCAAGAGCTCTGCGGAACAGTAATCGAATTACGAAGGCCAGAAATTTGTTTAACCTAAAATTACGAACTTACAAAGTAATCTTAGTTAATCCTAAAGCTCCCACCATTTTTCAAAGTAAATTCCAGCATAAATAATTGACCTCTGAGATACGCACAAATGTTCCACGATCATTGTGACCAACATGGAAATAAAAGAACTTGTTGTTTTCAGCACGTAATTGCTTAGAATCAGGTACGTCGACATTCTCATTGTTCTAAATAAATGCAGTATATGATCTAAAAATTAATAATCAAGATAAATAATCAAGAAAATCAAGAAAAGTATAGAATATGATTTTAATAAAAACCTTATAGAGATATCCTTCTCCAAATTTATCAATAAATACCGTAAGTGTATCACGGAGCTGAGCCATTCCAGGAGCTGGTAGTGCTATCTGAATAAATGTGATTTTTATATATTAATATATAATTTAATAATAATTTTAATTTAAATAATCACAACCATTTCAAGACCGTTTCTAGCAGAACCAACATTTAAGATTTATTTTTATATCCATGATATGATTTATTTTTATAATTATAAAAAGTAGCATGCAAGACGTAGCGCCATATGTTTGTAATCACAAAAATAAATAAATAGAGAAAAGTAGAGCCTATATGAAAGAAAACTGATCAATTAAGAATACTTGCGAACGGATTCCTGGTGGGCCACGATAAACCATTTGTGATACGCGCAAATATTTGCCACGCTGATTCTCTCTTAAATCCAGAAAGTAACGCCGTGATCTGTACACAATCATTTCTGAGCGTAACTGCCCATTCTGGCTAGGCACAGCCTGTTCCTCTCCAGATGCTTAAATTACCTTTCGTAAATAAAAGGATTTATAATTGGACAGCCAGCTGTTCTTTATTCCACTGCAAAATATTTTTTGAAAAAACCTACCTAAACCATCGAAGAATTTAACAAATTTGTCCAAATGGTCCCGGAATTCAACAGCAGCCGCCATCGATAAAATAATGCGGCTCTTACGGCCTCCAAGACCTACCTTAAAAGGAGGTACTCTCTAGAAACATCATTAAGTTTAATCGCTTCAATGCTATAAAATTTTATGCTCTCAAATAATTAAGAAAATTCATGAGCAAACTTCGGCAAGTTTGATGAATCGTCCACGGCTGTTTTGCTTTACATCGACATAAAATCTTTTGCGCTGTACTTCCAACATTTCAGTTGCCAGCTCCTGCTCACTTGGCATTTGTTGATGTTCTTCGCTACTGGCGTCCGACATTTTTTGATTAGCAATCAAATCTAAAACAGAATTCTTTTGAGTCACATCTTCCCAATAATAAATTCTTTCGAATTATAGCCTCATAATAATGTATACAGTGGTTAAAAAACAGGAAAATGATATTAACAAAATAGTGATTTGAAGCAAAAAATTGGAATAATTTAAAAAATATCATTCAAACTGCGAAAAATTAAGTTCTATATATGAAATATACCAGCGTTGTTTCCAAAGAAATTCAAATTCAATTTCAACAATTCTTTTTTGAAATTTCTCCACATTTTTCCAAATTTACTTTTTAAAATTAATGTATTTAAGTCTTTACATAAAATTTAAATACAGATATGGACAAAGAAATGTGAAATAATGCATAAACATATTTGTTATTTACATATTTATACCACCTAATTACTCATCTTAGCTGTCATTTCAAATCGGTCACAAGTTTATCTCAAAAAAGTTAGTAGTCCATTCTGACTCAGACTTGTATTTATTATTTCCGAATAGCAAATGTGCGTAATTTGAAATAAAAGCAAAATTAAACGATTATTATTACAATTGCCACCACAGAACAAGGAAAATACCCCACTAAGCAGAACAGGAGAAACAGGAATTAAAAATTTAACCAACCAAAATGCAAAATATCTTGATGGAATCAAACCAACCGACTCGCCGATACCGCACTTTCCACACCAAGATCTTTTCCTCACTTCAAGTACCTTAAAAACAATAAAATATTGACATTTAAGCCAATTCAGATTCTTCTTTTTTTCCCCTATAAAATTGAAAATAGACGCAAGAATCAGATCTGGAAAATCAAAGAAATAATTATTAAGGACTCCCATTTATCAAACCATTAGCTATCGGCTAAAAAATGATATAGAAATAAATAAAACCAGATCAACGTTAAAACAAACAGAAAAGGAAAGTGAAGCAAATTCAACTAAAACGTTTTACCATGTAAAGTAAAAAATTTCAATAGGACAACTTTTTTACTGAAATTTTTTAAGAAATCGCCAAATTCTTTTCAAAAACTATAGCAAATAATAAATGAATGAAAAAATGATAAAAGGAAAAATAAAAAAATAAAAAACTCAATAAAACCTTGGAAATAAAAAATAAATCGCAAAAAATTAAGGACACACCACTCTATTATAAAAATAAAATTTTTCTTTACAATATTCCCTAATTCTCATTAATTGGCCGTTGCAACCTTAACCCCACACCCCTCTACGAAATCGACCCTCCGAATCGCCTCCCCAATCTCCCATTTCCTATCACAGTCAAACTTATCGCGCCCGAAACGCAACGCAACATCGCATCACAACGCCGCTAAAAGCGCGTTTATCGTTCTGCAACAATTTGTACCAACCTAATTGCTTTAATTTTTTAGAAGCAAACACCAAAAACGGAAATCTTTTTAACTAAAAAATTAAAAAAGAATTCTTTAAAAAAAAAATGAGCGATTTACTAACCCTAAATCTGTGAATCTTAGCAGTTCAAATAAATAACAACAAATAAATTAGATAAAATACCGAAGCGCAGAACTTCGCTCCAAGACCAAAAATTGTTAAAACAACGGGACCAAACCTCCCAGCCGCGTTGCGATGCCTAACCGTCCTTCTACACCACCATATCTATCAAAAAAACAAATAACAGCGTTTTTCAGAAGGAAAAAAGAGAATAGAATAAAAATGATAATCAGAGGTCAGGACTCACCATTTGTTGTTGTTAACACCGTTTTGCTGATGTAAAGCAACTTCCAAAACAAAACAAAAGGTGACAGACTGGCACGAGTCCAGTTTTCAAAACATTTCTGCCAGGAAGCGACCCATGCTCCTTCAGATGACAATCTAAGCAATACAGCACTGACCCTCACTCTTGAGCAAAAATATATTTATCTGTAACAAGCGATACAAAGATCACCACCGAACTGCTTTCCTTGATAATATTCAAGATGACTGAAGAATTTGAACTAAAGTAGTAAACTCTGTAAAAGATGGGGAAAGAGGGAGCAAGGAGAAGATAGAGAGGAAAGGCACGGAGGAAAGAAATGGTAAAAGAAGGAAATATGGAAACTTCTACTGTTTTCGGCTTTCTACTGGTATATTCCATAAAAAATAAAATATTTGATATTAAAAACAATTAAAATAATTCAAAAATTTCAAGTGAAAAATGACAGATCGCAAAATCTTTTAAAAATACAATGGAAAATGTCGAAAAAAAAAACTTTTTTTCTCGATGGCGATAAAAATAAACCAAGCAGTGACGATGGCTGACGATACAACAACCGCCATAGGGGAAGCAAAGAGTGAAAATACAGGTGATGACCACGACCATACTTTTACAGAGGACAACGGCTTTTTTCTTATGGATAACTAACGTGCTCTGAGGAAGTTCTATGAGATGCAGTACAGCGCTTTGATAATTTTATATGAAAGAGAATTACACCAGGTTTGGAAGGTAAAACAGTTTCGTGGAGTCCAAATGATTCATCAATGAGTATAAAAATAGACAATGAGGAGAATTCTTTGCGGATTCCATCATTTGCGCTATTCCATCATTTTATGTTTGGCAGTACTTCGCATGTCAATCAAATAATTTTATCCTTTTAAAATTTTTTTTCCACCAAGAAAATTATAGGAATAATTGCTCCGTATTTTGCGACATTATGAGTAGTTATAAGAGTAGTTAAAAGAGTACGAATTCAAAATTCGACGGCTTATCGACTTCAATATTCAGTTTGCCAAATGGAATCTTTTTTAAAATAAATTCTGATTATGGCTTACAGCAGAAATTTCATATGCGTTTATATACTTATGCTTACTCCATACCATATACATGCCATACATCGAAATCACAGGAATTGAGGCAAAGGACGTTCAGTCAAGAGTTGGTCTGGTAGGGACAAGAAAGGTTTAAAGGCATAGAATAGCCGCCATCTGTATTACAATGGACAATGGAAAATGAGTGAAATAGCTTCAGCCAATTTCATGAATAGCGTCCGATCGGGGTGTCCGGAAAGCCTCATCTTAATATGCGGTGAAATCAGCTAGAAAATCATGCATATTATTAAAAAATAAAAATAAATTAGAAATTATAATTAAAAAAGCTATTCTATAAACGACTCGGCGCAGCCAAATTATGTTTAACTTCGCAAAAAAATATAATGAAATGAATACTTTCAAAAATAAAAAATAAAAATTATTCTTCACAACGACATCTCTGAAGAATGCGCTCAGCAAACAATTTACTTTCAGGTGAAATCTCTTTAGATGATATGAGTATTTCCAGAGCAGATGCTGTAGCATTTAAGTTTACGCCACAGTTTAGAAATATCATTCTTTCGAAAACTTCCAGAATCATCATTATTCTCTGCAAACAAAACAACCTAAAAGTCGAAATCAATTCATATAACGATAAAAGATAATGAAAGATAAAAGGGATCAGTGGGTTACTGTTCACATTTCGGAGTGCCGATGCTGGACCCAGCTCTCGGCAGTAAAATCAGCTCGGCTCTAAAAAACAGTGATGGGAGCCTAACCAGAAATGACTTTTTGAAAAAAAAGCAGAGCTCGAGCGCCTTCGATCTGAGTGGAGCATCATAAGTTAGATTCGCAAATCCTGATATTGCGTGATGCTCGTGACCCACCTGTAATCTGTGGCAGTAGTAACCGAAAATTTTTTGGCAAAAATTTTTAACAGCACAATACTAAAAAACAGTACAGCTAGCCTAACCACAAGCAAACTTTAACTATTTACTTTTTTCCTTCTCTAATTTTTGTTAACTGAATTCAAATAAGATATAATTTCGCACAAATAGGCTATGACAACATTCTAAAAAAATAAAATTCAGAATATTTCAAAGGGAAATTAAAACGAATGGGAAAGAACACCAAAAAAAAAGAATATGAATAGTATAAATGTTCCTGCGAAAATTTCATAAAATTCATATTCCTCCAAATAAATATTCAATAAACTAACGGATTTGACATCAGAATCCAATAAATCTTGACATAAAATATCACATAAAACCTTCAAGTCATTGCTGTAGAATGTTTTTTTAACCAAATCGGGTTCGGCATGAAATATATCCAAAATCATCTTCAAGACATCCAAATCTAAAAATATCTCCATCAAATGCAGTTGATTCAGTTGACTTGGCATTAAAATATTTTTAAAAATTTGTCGTTTTGCAAATAATAATTCACAATTATTCTTTTACAATTTTCTGTGATTTTCTGTAATAGTAGCTGTGATTTATCATTTATCTAATTTGATCTCTTTCAGATGAGTCAAAGAATGCGAATCGTGAACGGTTCTAAGACTATTCAGCTACTGGCGAAATGATCTTTTTTTTGCGGGAGATATGAAGAATTAACAGTAACTTATCATTTATGACTATATATATGGGGCAAAAACCAATCTTCAGGTATGATAATCGTTTTCGTCCTAAATATTCTTTCATCTACAGCTCTCACTATTAGTGGTTAGGCTCATCCCACTGACTAGAAGGATAAGATGCTTTCAAGATACGTGATCTGATGCCATTGTCGACAGTTAATAGAAGCCATTCCTTTTCCAATCGTCTAAGTCTACATATCTATATATCACGGGTCCATCTATACATTCAAAATTTTTCTTGGCTGTATTCGTCCAAATTAGTAAACCTCGAATTTTCTCGTTTCACGTCTTCTACCATCCTCGTTTTTGACTATCCATCAAAGGGCTTAGCAAATAATGGAATATATATATATATATATAATAATGGAATATATATGTCAAGTCCTGCGATGGGCGGCGAAAAACGTGCTGCTCTAACCAGCAAAGGCTGTGTTTCGTGATAGTTAATGACTGTATGTATGACTGTTAATGAAAGTGGTATTTGAGAGAAGACAGATGAAGGTAGAGAGAAGGTAGTCTTATTTTATCCATCCAGCGAACCAGTAAAATATAAATTAGACATGTGTGGTCAAAGGTAGATCTTCTAATATTCTCTACTCTCACTGGCCATGTTTCGCAACCATATAGCAAGATCGAATATCGCGGCTATATAGATGCGAGCTTTCATTTTTATGGTGATTTCGCGACAGCTCCATAAAGGTTTCAACCGGAAGAACGCATTTTCTAACTACCGTTTTATCGTTTTCCGGTAACTGGCCATTCGGTATTAAACTGGATCCAAAATATTTAAAATCTTCCTCAACCGGCAATTAGTTTATAAAAAGAGGCATTTTATCAATTTCTTCTATACGAGATGGAAAGACTTTCCTTTTATTAATCATTAGACCTTAGACCAATTCTTGTTCCTATTCCTGAACCTTGTTTGGCATTATTTGCATCTCCTCATAGTCAGCAAAAAGAACGACATCATGAGCGTATTTAAGATCTGATACGATGCTCTGGACCGATTTGTACATCTCTTGGGTGCTGAAAAGCGGTGTCGATTATCCAGCGGTGTCGATTATAGTTGAATACTGTAGGAGAAAGACCTTGACGGACACTAGTTTTTATTTTTAAGCAGTTTGTCATTTCCCCACATGCACAGACCAGCATACACTATAAAATGTCTTCATGAGTCGAATGATCTTCTCTAGAACACTGTCGCGTTTTATCACTCTCCAAAGCGCCGTTCTATCTATTGAATCGAAGGCAAAATCGATGAAATAAATGATGAATTATTGATATTTGAAGAGATGTTTAACATCCTTAATGTGAATATCTGGTCAACACAACCGTGGCCCGGTCTGAATCCAGCTTGATTAGGGCACATTTCGTTATCCCGTACTTACATAAATCTATTAAGTAAAAGAGAAGCAAAAATTTTAGCTGAGACGTCTAGTAGACTGAATCTTCTATAATTGTCGTAGTATATCCTATCGCTTTTCTTGAGAATTAGGAGCAGAACTGCTCTAGTTTGGTATTATTTCTTTCATCCATACTAGAGAGTACATTTGTTGAAGGTACGTTACGAAACGATTTGAAGAGTTCAGTCTGCAGATCATTTTCTTCCGGAATCTTATTGGTTTTAAGCTTATGGATAACGGAGGTTATTTCTTCTCCTGTTGGCGGCTCGCAATTGTAAGATTATGATTCGACGATGTATTCTAGTATGGAAGTGGCTGACTTTCAAAGATTTTCCTTTAATTGAGACCAGTATTCATCTTCCGTTCCAGAGAAGTCATTGAAATGCTTCATTGTAATTTGAGTTGAAATATGCTCATATGCTCACTTCTCCAATCTTTTGATCTGAGATAGTTGAAGAATCTTGGGGGATTTACGAGTTGTTGAGGTGATAGGAACGACTATATAGCGCGGAACCTTTCCAATGGCGACTAACTAATATAATCACTCCGGTTGAAATACTGGTTATCCAAGGAGTTCCACATGTCTAGATGCTTTCTACGATGCCGAAACTTTCCCCACTGGCGCACCCGCCTTCGACGCCATATTTGCCAATTGTCGAGGTCATCGTATATTCCAGCCTCTCGATTATGACCATGTTATTTGTTGGTAGACTTGTTCACTTGGAGATGGATTACAGGTGATTCCCAGCAATTTGATTTTTGATATGACAAATTTACATCTGTCGAAGACAAGCTTAATATATTATTTTTATAATATTATTTATGCACAAAGTGGAAGAAAAGTAATAAAAAAATCTGAGATCGTTTGAGATACCAAAACAAAGTAATAATCGATAATCAATCAATAAAAAATCTAATAATAATATTTATTTCTATATTTTAGCAGAGCATTTGGACGAACTGACCGCTCACTAATAATACAATTCATCTTATCATCCTAAATATTAAATATACTAATGTTAAAGTATCTATCTACATTCATAAATAAAAATCACTGTTGTAGAAGAGAAAGGTTTCTGATATTTTCCACTGTAACTGAATAGACGAATCTTCGTAATAGACGAATCTTGGCGTGGACAGATCGAAACGACGCTGTAGTAAACAAAGATTCGTTAAAAGAAATGTAGCCAGTGTGGGAGAAAAATGTATCTCTGACCATTCCTCCTCAAGGTATATTAGTACCTATCCAGGTGACCAAATCTTACACATATTCTTTTCTTATTCTTTGCTTATTCAAGCCTATATTCTTTGTTTCTCATCACATAAACTGGCGATCCATAACTGTCACATTCCAAATCTTATGATGCATCAAAATCGAGAATTCCCTTTAACATGAACACCAGAAAAGATTTTTATATGAACAAGACGTATAATAATAGGTGGTAAAAAAGAGAGATGAGAAAAAAAAATGATTTTCTTAATAACTTTCAAAGAACTAGCGAATCGAGTGGTTTTTTCATTCTCTCAGCCAATTGAGTCGAACACACTGTAAGAAGAATTTTTTGTTAAAATTTAAGCTTCCATCTAGAATTCTAAAGTAAATAATAAAAAGATATACCGCAATCATTGTTTCTTCTGCTATTAAACTCTTCTATTAGCAGCTGGCCAAATACAAGTGACTGATTAGAATGAAGAGCACTGATAATAAAATTTTGCTCATCGTCGAAATGGCTGTTGAAATTCAAGAGAAATTTTACAGGCAATTTAGCATCATGTTCACATAAAAGTATTATTTTTGCGAAAAAATCAGTAGTAAAATATTCTGCAACAGATAATAATTATTTTTCAACCATAAAAACAAATTATAAAATACTAAAATAGATTTTTGAATATTTGAGAACAAAACAACAGTCAGTTAATAAGGTCAGTCAATTAATAAGGTTCTTTTGCAAGAAATTACAAAATATTCTGGGCAAAAAGAAAAATGCTTTTTTTTTTAATAAAAATTTTAGCAACTCTTTTAAAATATTAACTATGGCAAAGAACCTTGCTCCAAACCCTCTCGTTTATTCTGACTCATTTTGAGATACCATATCAGACAAAATAATTTCATCGTCTAAATAAAGAAAAGAAGTAACCAAGGTGAAAATAAGGTATTTTTTCAGTAATACTATAAATATCGATGAGCAGATTAAATGCAGCAATTTCAAGATCAGAAAGCGGATGAATAAATCTATTATTGGCAATTATCAAAACCGGAAGCCGACTTGAAAATAACAATGATTTAATAACTTCAATTTGACAACAGGATAAAAATGCATTTATGAGTGCCAACCGAATTACATCGTTTTGTTCCTGAAGTTTACAGGAAAGGAATCTTTTATAAAAAGGTATTTAAATGAGTTTCAACTATTCGAAGAAATATTTTATTTTGCTATTTTATCGAAAATTTGGTAAAAGCCACAAATAATTTGCAAATAAAATTTGGTTTCTAAACGACGTATCAAATCAGTTCTTACAATCCTACATTCAAGAAATAATAATTTACTATTTGGTAAAGAAGCACAAGCTTTTCGATAAATTCATAATCGCTTTTGCTAAGCTGGTTTATCGAAATCCGTTTATCTGTATTATCCTAAAGATTAGCCAAAAATTAGTATGAGATGCCACCCCACTGTCAGATTATACAAATTTATTTATATTTATTTTAAACCACCAATTTGAAATGAATTAAATAATTCGAATGATTTTATTATACTATACGTTCTCAACCCTGCACATCTTCAGATAATTTTGGTCAAACTAAACGTATAGAATAAAACAAATATTATGAATATTATAAAAATCGAACAAAGCGAGTTTTAATAAAAATAAAAATAAACTATTGTGAACAAAAACAAACATACCAAAACAGATGAGAACGTTTGCAAGCATTCTACCAATTGATTATCGCCTTCCAAACTCCACTTTTGCTAAAATCAGTAAATAAAGATTATAAAGCTAAAAGTGAAATCGGAGATGGATAATCACATTGGACCTACTAATGTGTGAGGAGTTAAGGAAAATTCTATATAAGTTCATTTATCTATCCTCTTGTAATTTTGAACTGCACCGTTTAATATCTTAAAAAAGTTGAAATTGTTACGTTTACACAAATGAAAAATGAAAACCATATGTTTTTTTAAAAGAATGCAAGTTAAAACAATATTTAAACAAGATAATAATTACTATAATAATTATAATTACAATTTATAATTTAAATGAAAAAAATCCTGCAAGCCCTATTCTCCTAATTTATTTTAAACAAGAATATATTAAAAATGTGCGACGATAGAAATACCTGTTTTTTATCATCAATAATGCTCGATATGATCATTATCGACTTATGAATGACGCCAGCATCGTAACACTGTTCAACATCGATAATATCTTCATGATCTAACGCAGTTTTTATGTGCAATAAATCTTTACAAGATGATACATCTCTCATCAGACACTTAAGAATTAAAGAAACCGTGTCAATGCAAGCAGCCATTGGGGCATTTGTCTCTTCCCTAATTATGTCAACCAGTTCGCGTGCTTTAGCTTTAGCGTTTAAAACAGGCATATACATGACAAAGTTCGCTTAAAAAAATATTGAATAATTCATAAAATTATCCTATCATCAATGAAATTTATTTAAGTTCAATTAGAAAAAAATTATTCAATTAGAAAAAAATAAGAGAAAAATGACTAAACTTACTTCAATAACGATTTGACCAAACGATAAACAAAAAATTAAATCTAAAAAGTTCAATGAATAACATTGATGAAAATTTTTTTAAGCCTTCGAATGAAGCAAATAAGCAACTAAATTTCGAAAATGATAATATCAGTCCCCTTCTGAAATGAATATATATCGAAAATGATAATATCAGTTCCCTCATGAACATATAAGACACTATTTCTTCTTCCAATTCCTTTTTACCGCGAAAAAATGTGCCTTTCAGAAATCATAAATATTCCCATCCAAAGTGCATGGATCTCACAAAATTCATCACTTGTTAGAACCAGTTACCAATTAAATTATCAGCTAAAAAATTTGTTCATATTTTGAACTTCCCACGTTATCCCTTGCAAAATCTTGAAACACAATTTAAAAAATAACAATTTAAAAAATAAAAATAAGTGATAAGAATGTGAACGAACCGCAAAATACCGCTTTCTTCGATAGCAGGAAAGATTTACTAAAAAATTTTTTATTCAAATTGAGAATATTTAATAATAAAATAATGAAAAATTAACAAAGAAAAAACTTTTCACTAAAAAAATTAAAAACTACTATCAATTAATTAAAGATTTTAAAGCGTAAAACAAAATATAAAATTTATAACTACCAACTTAATTTTAATATAATTTAATTTACATTGATATGAATGCAGTACCATTTCTCGTTTGGCTGACCATGTCGAACATTAGTGAGAAAAGTATGGGTGGATGTTCAGAACAATTCGAGCAACGATAATCACGAACAATAAGCATCTAATAATATAAATAAAAACCAAATAAACCTAAAGTATTTAACAAATAAACTGAAGTTTTTTAAGCCTTATGACGATAATAATAAATAATGACGATTAAAGAACAAAAACTGCTAATGAATTTCAAAGAAAATACAATTATAATAAAAATTTTGCCAAAATAAACTTAAAGAAATTCAAAACGACAAAATGACGAATGATTAACATTCGTATTTTAATTTTTGAATTGTAATAGTAAAAAAACTCAAGAAATTCAAAAAGCATGAATTGCGAATAGAAAAAAGCACAAACAACGAAAAAATCAAAAGTGTAAAATTAGTGAAATCTCTAAAGCCACTAAAATATATTTTTCATCCCTAATTTAAAATTTATTTTGAACTGATATTCCAACCAAGAAAGACGAAAATAAGAAAAAATTGTACAAAAATTTTATGAATAAATAAACGCATAATTTGACATAAACGAATTACTACGAATTACTACGCATAGACAAGAATTAATAAGAAATGATTTCAAGTGCAATATTATCTAAAACTTAAAGATTCTTCAAAATCAGAGATGGCCGCACCAATAACAGCTTCAAATTCACCATCCGAACCAGAAAAATCTGAATCAAATAATGACCCCGTTAAACCAAATGTGAAAAGATTTGATCGTTTCCTGCAAAATTATGAATTTGTACGAATAAAGAAATCTGAACTTTACTAATCAGTAGATTACAATCGTTTGAAGTTTCCATAAAAATATCAACAAAAATTGATAGAAAAATTCTGTCAATGAAGAAACTCACCCTTTAAGTGCGCGAGGACTTTTTCCTTCAACAATCGTTCCATCTGGCAAAGCATGTTTGTAAAAACATTTATTACCAAATGGGCAATCATCGATTGAACCTTCTTTGATATATTTGCATTGTTTTTGTTTCGTATTAGTTTGAAATTTTGTAAACAACTTCATCTTTTCAGCAGGATCTTCAACCCAATAAACAGCTAAAAGCAATAAAATGAAAATTTTTTCAACAAATTAGAAATTTCATATAGTAGAAATAAAAATATATACCTAATTCATAAAGAATTACCTAGCTAAACTCCATTCTAAATAAATATAGCTTTAACCTGGAATAACGAAATCTGAATGCGTCCGACATTCCGGACAACTACGAACAATTTTCTTATCGAACTGCTCATTCTGGTTCTTACGCCATTTCCTTATGCAATCCAAACAAAAACAATGTTTGCATCCTTCCAATATACCGAAACGCATATTTTTATCTCTGCAAAAATAAGAAAAATGCAATTTAAATAATGAATATGATGTAATACGTACAGAAAAAAAATTGGCGAATTACGGAATGAATGGAAACCTTATATTTTCCATACATATCCCACATGTTTTATCAACAGATCGTGCAATAGCGAATGCTTCTTCCATGGCCTCTTCATGGGCCGCAACACATTCTCGATTATGCTGAATTCGTTGATCGGCATCTCCAGGGTGTAAACAATTTATACCACATAGTTCACATAAATCACCATGCACAAAATCACATTTAGCACCTTTAGAACAATTTCCAGTTTCAAAATAAGGGCATAAGGGTAAAATACATGCTGACCTAAACGAAATAACTGTTTTGATGTGAATTATATTTGCAAATTTACATTGGAACTAGTATTGCCTCTGACTGATTCTTCCAAACTACACGGTAGCTTTTGTTGCGTAATGATTTTCCTTATTTTTTTTCAGCCTCTATACTTTTTTCATTTCTTTTGGCAAAAATAGATCTATCATTAAAATTGAAAATTGAAAGCATGATTGCTGACACCTTTATTTCTACCACCAAATCACTCCATAAGAAATCAAACAAAAATCAAAAGCTGTCCACATATTCCCACGCGTTATGTATCGAAAATATGGCATGTTGTGCTAACTGAACAGGAACCTAAGAAATCTAATGGTAAAAAAAAAAAATGAAGTGAAGATCAAGTGTGCATTGCTTAACCACAAATATCAAAGTTCAGTCAGTCTCCCTGCTCCTTTCTATTTATTAAATTTATTATAAAAAAATCCATGTAGTGCTGGGGGTCCATTAGTACTCCGGCCTTCAATCTTTTAATTGAGTTCTACTCCTTTAAATGATATATTCCTTTAACTGATTCATATTCATCAGCCGTGTTTGTGGTGCTGAATCAAATAGAATGAATTGGGTTGGTTTCTGGTTCCATAGGTTAAAGGAGTTCTTTTTTAACACTGTGATAATATTGTTCTTATAATTTGTTGTTCTTATAGCTATTAATTATTTTCGATTTTTATTATAAAAATTCTATTACTTATTACTTATTGGTTTAATTATATAAATTTGAACGTCCTATGCAGGAAATTTGCAATTCGCCTTCACGAAATAAGATAGGGAATAAAAAGAAGCCAGATCGTTTTATTCAATAATGAAAATTATATGGACCTAATTTTGACATAAACATAAAAAAACTAATAAACAGCCTCGTTTATTCGACGTGCAAACAAAGCGAATCTATCATTTAACGAAATTCATTTGTTTCTCAAGGTCATAGACGGCCATACTTTCTGTTACGAAGTTCTCTTTTTTAAGCGCTCCAAACTTAATGAAATATGGCATCAAAAACGAAAAATCCCAATCAAAGTGGATCAATGGTTAGAGCTCAGCTATAAATGGGCTTAAAGGAGGGAAAGGAATAATTTTCCCAGTTAAATTTAGATGTCGGATCAATGGCACATGCTCTTACGAGAATAAATACAAAAAATAAAGACAACTGCAAAAAAATCAAATTTACAAAAATACCCCACGGCTGAAGCATATGTCCATTTATCCGACTTCGGAGCAGTTATCCATGAAGGAATGAATTCTGGAGCATCGGTGGAAAACACATGGTCTTTATGTAGTATCCAAGATTTGCTTTTCCCCAGAGTATTATGATCGTCTAAAATTAAAAAATGAAAGTAACTTTGAATACTTTATTACAAATGAAAATTTTTTGCAAACTATGAAAAAATCATGCATGATAGGCAAAATTAAGAAGGCAGTCTATGAATTTATCCATAACTTTTCAACGAGTGGTAAATTTTATTTTAAAATTTAAACTACAAATGAAAGCAAATCAAAATCTCGAACTTATTGGTTGTTTTTCTAATAACGTTTCTTTCGATGATTCGCCAAACTTTGATGGGTGATTCGGTTTCGTATGATTATATCTAAAAAATTAAAATTTTTGTTTCGTTAGGTGGCACGAATAAATAAAAATAAATAATAAATAAATAAAAATACTTCACTTTAAAATGGAAAGAAAATTATATAATTTTGGATATCAAAACCTTAAATTTCCATTCATTTCCATTCCAATTTCGAAATATTATTTCCAGAATAAATGCAATATATTATTTTATTGTGGCTAAAAAATAAAAAATTCGAAAATTTTATTAAATTTAATTAAAAATACATTTAATTAAAAATAAGATACCAACCGACAATGAATACCAAATGAACAACGTCCAGCTAAATAGAAACGGCATACATCATCAGGTTTTATGGTTCGATCATGCGCGAATGGACATTCTGAACCTTTGGTGCACGCGTTATTAATATAATATTTGCATAGTGTTTTTCCTCGTGTTTTCGCAAATCCTAAAAAATATGATTTCGAGCGAATAGTTTGATTAATAATAATAATAATAATAATAATAATAATAATAATAATAATTTGTTATTTAATGAAAATTCACGCTTGTCGCGAAACACGATTTTAAATTTCTCATTTACGAAAAAGAAACTTCTCACTTTACGAATTAAAAAGAAAAATCGTTAATTTTTATAATGAGTAAGCTGATGGGTTTGTCGTTTGGGAACAGACGTTTGTCGATCAAACCACCAATAATCATTTTCAAATTTTCGTAGAGTGAATAAAAATAACGCAGCTGACATGTTAGCCTATACGACTGGTAAGAACAGCTTCGTTGCTATGGCTAATTAAATTGTCTCCAATGAAAGCAATATTAAAATTTTTGTTTGGTAGAATCATGCAAACAGACTGCCAATCGAGCGAGATGACTGAAGCCTTGCTATAAGTTCCAATAAGAAATTCTCGTACATTTATTTCTTCTTTTTTATGTTATTTTTGCAATTTTTTAAATCCATAACTTTTGTTTTTTAAAGTAAAACCTAACGAACTATTCGTCATGCAAGCAATGACTCGTTTAAATTTTGCCGATTTCTTTAACAAAGTTTTTATTACCTAAGAATTAATACTGTCACTTAAATACAACTAAAAAGCAGGGAAAAAATTTAAAAAAAAATCTCGCGGTATGCAATCGAGTCAGCCTATTGCAGTCTACTGCCTGAGCTGAGCCAAATTGTTTGAACTATATTTCTAATTATCGGACTGATTATCGAATAATGGTCTATCATTTAAGCATAACATCAATTGGTAAGCCGAAAAGTAAAGCACAATGGGCAGAGAATGGAATATGTTCTAGAATAACCGACTATAAACGTCGATATTAAGATTGAAATAACTGAACAATGAGTGATAACCAGTCAGATGAAAAGTTTATTGGAAATGAAAAATGTTAAGGTTTTCCATACGAGTTTATTTAAATTATTTTGAAAGCAATTTTTGACTGCTAGAAGAGTTTCCTCAAGCTTAAAATTTACAATCAAAGTAGAATTATAACTTTCGATCAGTAACTTAAAAAAAAAGCTTGAAAATAAATGATTTGAAATTATGATAAAACTTGATAAAAAAGGACCAATAATTCAAGAGACACCAATTTTTATCCTTTTCTTTATTTCAACCAAAATTCAATAAAAAATTTCTTCTCCCTCTAAAAAAATTTTATAATGCAACCCAATTTGAAATGATTTGAAATTATGTTTTGCATGGTATTATAAACAATATAATGCAACCCAAATAAATCCTATTATTGAGAAATGAAAATTATCAGAACTATCATAAAATTCATATTTTGAAAATATTTTATAACACAGCTGATTTTGGAATCTTTCGAAATCCTTCAATATTTAATATTTTAAACTAATAGGGGATAGAATGGTTCAGTGGGTTTTTGCTCAATTGGGAGCGCCGGTGCTGAGGTTCGATTCCCTACAGGAGTAAACCTGTATAAAAATCCGGGTGATGCTGGCGACTCACCTGTATTTCTATCGCCAAAGGACTCCTTCGCATATTGGTCAACTGCGACAAGCCAGTGGAGTGAGTTTAACCAGTAATGGTGAGTACTCGTAAAAAAAAAATTTTGGACTAATTACTGTTTTCCACTATCCTTTTCTGTAGCTATGGTTTAAATTTACTGGAAGCACTTCGGTTTCTACGGCTGAGCCCGGAAATATCCGAACTTCTATGAAGTTTACAATCTCTTCTGATCATATCACTCCATGCATTGATCTGACCTCTTTTTCGCAATCACTCAGCATATACAAATAAAGCTTGGCATAAAGCGAAATATCCGCTGAAAAATATATAACCAGTGCAGACAAAGCAGTAATAATGCAGATGGTATATAAAAGTTCTGAACTGACTACAGGTTATTTATTTATTAAAAATCAGGTTTATTTCCACTTACACTCACACTTATATGGTTCCAAATGCGTCATGACCTTAATATCTGGTACGTCCATTTTTGTTGACTTTAGTTTCAAGGAACTCTCCATTAAAAAATAATTTTTGAAAGCCTTAACAGGAATGAGTTCCAACCTAATCTCATTACAATTCCCTAATTCACCTTCACAGCAATAACGAAATTGATACAATGATTTGAAATTACAACGTATTCGAGATGCTGTCTCTAAGCTTCCAGAGCCTTCAAAGTGCCGTTTTTGTTTTGTTCACAACTGGGTATAGGAATGTATAGGGAATTAACGATAGCAAACGTCTCTGTGGGCTCCAGCAGGATCACCTCGACCGAGATCCCTTCCTTTTTTCGAGCGTCTCTTAGAGCGGACCTCTAGAAGTAAGACTTCAACCGCAAGCTTTTATTGGCTGCCCCTTCCACACACTGAAAGTACTTTACGGGTATTCCCATCGGAGACTAAGTGAATTAGGTACGCCCTTAACGTACGCCATTTGTTTGCTCCAATCTGAACCTATTCGGTTATTTTACGCCAATCAAGTGCATCAGTTCACAACAATTATTATTATTGTATTTTATAGAAATATAAGAAAAAAGATTTAAAAAATTGGAAATTCACTTAATGAGTAATTTGTATACAGCGAATTTTTTTATAAAATTTAAATGAAATATGCATCGAAAAACTAATTCTTTGCACAGAAATAATAAAATTTAGCCAAAAAACTAGTAAAAAATCCAAAAAGACCGCTCACCAGCAGTATTCTCCATCGAATTCAGTTTATCTAAATGGTGAACAAACTCGACCTCATCTTCATATCGATTACTAATAGTGGCCTTTCCTAAAAATCGGCTCGGCTCGTCACACCACTTTTCGTGTATAGTTTGGTTGCCGGAGAATGATTAAGATTCGATGGAATTATGAAAAAATTTTCCATTACTTCTTTCTAACAGTATCATCGCTAATTAATTAAATAAGAAAATTTAAAGCAAATAAGATCTATGAACTAAAAAATATAAGCGAAAAAAATTCTAAAGAGATGTACTAAGCCAATATTCAAATGATCAAAAATGCAAATGAACGATGATTATTCATTAATTCTTTTATTTCTCCAATAATTATAAGTAGTAAAGGCCGATAAAACCATGAATAATAAACCCGACTTGGTTTCATTAAAGTGAAATCATTTTTTTCACAAAGTTATTTAAAACTAAAATTAAATATAATGCAAAAATAAAAAGAATAAAAAAATTGCCTATGAGATGAAGAATGATGTAATTAACAACAGCAAACGTTAATAATCAAATTTGTTCTAAGAGTATCCTTACTAATTAGTTAAAATTTTCTTGCTAACAAATATACAAAGAAGACGAAGTCTAATTGATTCAAAACTGAAGAACCGTTTAGAAAAAACCTCTTTCATTTGCATTATAATAAATACAATAATAATTTCCACATAAATCAAGCGCAAAATATATACAAAAAAGTATAAATATTTACCGCAAAAACATGGAAGCAATAAAGCTGACTGATCCATCCATCAGCTGATTAATTAACATAATAATATAAACATAATAAAGCTAATAAAACGATAAATTACTATGCAATTAAACGCAATTAGCTTCCAAAACAAAATGAAAAGAAACCACCACAAGAACCACAAAACCTAAACAACAGTCGCATTTTTTTCGCCACTATAATTATTATTGGGCACTTTTCTAGAACTAACTGCAGAAGAAATAATTTTTGTAGTTGAATAATTAGCCACATTTCTTACTGTTACTGGATGTAGTGGTGCTCGCCGAAAATTTGCTGTTGCTGTTGAGCGATTGATAACTGATGGCGACAATGAGAAGGGAATGTGATTTGCTGATGCAAATGAATGAAAACTACTTGACGAAGTATGTTGTTGATAATGATGAACATCCGACATTTCAAGTGGTTTACTAAAAAAAAATATTTAGAAATACCTATTGAAACTATATGTATATGTATTTACATATGTATATAAATTCTTTATCGATTACTTTAAAAAATGAAAAAAAAAACGAACCAAAACTCAACATTTACTAAACCATTTCCATTAGAAATTGGATAACAAGTTGCGGATCGAATGGCGCTTTCCGGAGATAATCGCATCAGTAGTTGTGAACCACTTTGAGTGCCTCGATGGCCTTGCCGTAAACATCTCTTTCCGATGCCATCATTTTCATATAAAGGAGTACCAAACTGCTTTATATTTAATGAACCATGCGAAATTTGCCGAAAAAGTGCATTTAAGTTAATAAAAAAATCAAATAATGATGATTAGGATAAATATAGGAAACGCACTAGGATAAACACAATTTCTACGTTTCAATCGAGCACTTTGAATCTCAAAGGATAGATAAAAAACTTAAACCTAAAAGATTACGTTTTGATTCGGTAAAAATTTACTTATTTTTCGATGCTCTTCTATCAAGGCTTGCCGTTGCAAAACCTTCGTTAAATGATTGCGAAACTGGAACAATAGGATGTCTGAGCGGTTTTCTACAACAAATATTTCTTGTTATTAAACCATTTTGTTCAACGAAATCACCTTCATTACTTTTTGTAGTACAAGTAACATAGGATGTGGTAGCAGACGACTGACACTGTCCAGCCTCTTGAAGGCAATTCGATTGAGAGTTATTTGGAACTTTCGAATTCTGCAATTTACCTTCTTTCACCTTATTGATAAAATTTCAAACAATATTTGCAACAAATATTAAATATTAAAGCCGCAAACCGTTTGAGGCATTTGACCATTCCAGAAAACAATTTCTTTATTATTATCCCTATGCTGATCGTCACCATAAAACTCATCCACGGAATTCACTGGAAATTCTTGATCTGGTAAACTATGTTCTGAATAAGCATGTTGAACACGTCGTTTTACAGGAATTGGATCCTAAAAAAAAATTTTTACCCCCTGTTGAAAGGAAATTCGGTGCATTAAATATATTCTTTAATTCATCAACATTTTTTTCTTAGTGGGTTAAAGATGTTAAAAATCCACAGTTATTGTCTTATTTAAACAAAAATTTTTAATATTCAATATTCCTGAAGGATGCCATATTCCCATCCATCTTCACTAGAAGAATATAAGTTGCCTTTGAAAGATGAAATGGCCCAAAGAACTACTCGAGATAGTAACTCACATTTAAAGTTGGGAAATTCGTTTGTCGGTAACTGCTTTTGTAAGAGGCTGACGATCGATAACCAATATTTTCATACCTAAAAAAAATTTCGGTAATAATTAAATAAATTCTGGTAAAAGTCGTATAAATTTTCACAACCAAACTATTTCCATTTTCTATTAAAGACAAATCGATATTATCATATATATATATATATAAATATTAAAAAGTCCATCCATTAGGGTCCATTAGAATCCGCATCATTACTGGTTGAAATCGCAGGCTTGCTGCACTAAAATATAACTACAAATATACTAGGGGGTCCCTTGGTGATAGAAATATAGATGAAGCCAGAATTTTTGGACAGATTTACTCCTACAGGAAACGGAAATTTCAGCATCGACGCTTCAAATTGAATAACAACCCACTGAGCAATCCTATCCCCTATATTTTTTTTTTAACAGTTCTCACCATTACTGGTTAACTTACTCTGTTGGCTTGTCACACTAGACAAATATACCAGAAAGAATAAATGAAGTATGAAACAAAATCTTCGCATCGCATCTAGAGAAAAAAAATCTCAAAAAATTTAGATAAAATTTAAGCATTTCTTTGTGTTCCATCCTTTATTAAACGTTTTGAAAAAATGCGAAAAAAAATTCAGTTATATTTAATGAGATACAAATACAAATAAAAAAGGATAGAAACAACCTATGCTATAATATTTTTACCAATTTTTCCCAAAAAAACGAGGAATCCATTTTTCTATTAGCTCCACATGTTTTTCTCTTATGTGCTCTTCCATTCTCATTATTTATGATATTGCGAATTTTTTGGAACTTTTTTTCGATGATTCTAATGAATGAACAATTTTCACTGAATAAATTAGTTTCGCTAAATTTGAAAATTTTGAAGGATTAGAAAAAAATAACAATTGTCATACACGGGTAAATATGGTGAAGATTCGCTGATTACTAGGGGAACAGATGAATATGCATTCACGAGATCGTTTCTCAGTGTTCTTTCAGTAGATCGATATTCAGGTATAGATACTTTGGGCACTGCCATACCGTATCGTCGTTGAGGTGCAGGAGGCAATCCGTTAATTATACTAAAATATAGATGAATAAGATGAAACAAAATATGAGGAAAATAAAATGATTCAAAAGAGATAGAGCATTCAGTAATATTAAAGTAAACCTATAAGGCCTAATATTATTATTTTGCCTATAATCAGTGTCTTTTTCATCATCAATATCACATTTTTCATTGTCAGTTGATAAATCAGGAAAAGATCCACGAGGAGTTGCTGGACATGATTTCGCCACCATATTGCTTCCATTACGATTTAATATATTCGACCAAGTCTCTCCTGTAAGAAATAACGAATAATAAAATACATTATCGCTCTAACAATATCACAAAAATTTAACCACCATTGATCAAAAAACGTATTTTGTTAAAATAAGTTCCATTTAGCCTAATATTTACTAATAGATGAGAAAACAGCTGAAATAAGAAGTAAAAAACAATACAATACAATATACAATAAAAACAATTTAATAAATACCATTAAATAATTGAGCCTGTTTGGTTTCGCTAACATCAGGTTTACTAGTTGAAAGCCTTAACTGATGAAGACCAATTTCAAGACCACGAAGTTTTTGAGTAGCTGCAACCAGATCTTTTTGACGTTTCTTCCGTACCGATTTATTCGCTGATTTGTCCTTAGCAAGACGCTCAGCTGCAGCGACAATTTTTCTATGCAATTCAACATCTGTCTCGAGCATCGATATTCGGTCATTCTAGAAATTCTCAAAAATTAGAATTATTTTTAATAACCCAATGACATGGTAATTTTTAAATAATAAGACAATAAACAATAAGCTTATGAGAGAGCAGAAAGGCGATAACTCACTCCATCAATAGCTTTTTTCAGAACATCGTCACTGAGCGAAAATGCTGTACCAATTCTTCGTTTGACTTTTGGTTCGCCTTCACCCGGCATTAATGTTTTATAAATCTCTCTCGGCATTTCGCCTGTTATCTCCTAAAATTCCTTTGATTTAAATAGAAGAAAACACAGAACATGAAGGACAAATGTTAATTACTTCCTTCCTACATTTATTATCAAATTAATTGCGTTTAACTTTAAATGTTTATGATATTTAATATAAAATGAAAAAAAGAACGAACCGCTTCTTGAATACAAACTTCTCGTAATTCATCTAATTTCGCCAATAATTTCTCTTCTAAAATATTTTTTCTTTTCTTCAATTCTTGATACAGCTCAACATCTCTTTGCTTTTCTTCATCTGTTTTTCCTGCAAAAATTTAAAATTGAAAAGAATAGTAGTTTTTAATCTTAATTCGCTGAAATATTTTCCACATATTACCATTCCGCATAGTTTACTGCAATAATTCGACAATCCTCAATAATAAAAAAGCAGCATATACTATTTAAAAAACCTTTTAATGATGGCAGCGAAATGGAAGAACCATCAATAATTTTGGGCAAAGGCATTGTTCCTTCAACAGCACAACCACTTGCAACAGCAGCACCATTCACAGAACTTTCCGACCTTAAACTATTAATTAATTAAAAAAATCATTTTTTTCTTTCAATCACTACTCATAATTTTTAGCACAGTTTATTAAGGACCTATAACTAAGAATGGGACGACCTTAAAGAATGCAATGATGAAGTAGCGATTGACGATCTGATAGCAACAGAATTCAACTTTTCACTTAATTCATCGATAATAGAAGCATTTATAATATGTGTTGCTGTTGCTGCTACTGACGACGACGATGACGATGATGATGATAACGACGATAAACGAAATTTTTGCTGCAAAAAAATGTTATTTTATCAATGCATCAAATTTTTGTCTAAAATAATGCCTCAAACGATTTCGAAAATTCCAAGGTTTCAAAACATTCGTCACAGAAAAAGAAGAGCTTTTAAGCATATATGCATAAAAAATTTAAAAGAAAAATAAACAAAATTATAAAAATACGAATAGACCAGTAGGAATGATGAACACAATAAAGTGGCCTTTTGGTGCAAGGAAGGACGATGATGTAAAAGGTCACCAAGAAAATGGGAAAACTTCCTTTCATATTAATAATAAATGCAAGTAATTTGCACAATTATAATCGGCATAAAAGAAGAAAAAAGAAACCATAAAACTATGAAAATTATCGGTTGAAATCGAGAGAAATGCTAATAATGTTTCAAAAATAAATGTAATTTTTTTTTTAAGAGTCCTCACCATTACTGATTAAAGTAGCTCCACTGGCTTGTGGCATTGGCCAATATACCAGGGAGTCCCTTGGTGATAGAAATACAAGTGATTTATCGGATTTTTGGACAGGTTTACTCCTGTGGGGAATCGAACCTCAGCATCGGCCGCCCAATCGAGCAACAACCCACTGAGCCATTCTATCCCCTATAAATAAATAATTAGATAATTATATCAAAAAGAGTCGTCAGTAGTATACCAATACCAACAGAGTATTCACTGGCTATCGGTTCATAAAACATATGTTCATAAAACATAAAAAATTACTGTAAACACATAACAGGTGGAAACAATGTAATGATTTTTAAAAAAAGCCGAAGATAAAGATTTCGACCCGTTTGCAAAAATATTACGAAAGAAAAAAGTGGGGTCAATTAAATCAGGTATTAATCAAATGAATCAATGAATCATTAAATCAAACTACTCCAACCGACTGCACCAATAATGAGTTATGAATGATGATATTGAAAATTATCGGAAATCATTGGAAACAAAATTATGATTTGCTATATGCTTACTAACTTTTTTATCAAATATATTTTAATTTCTCCTCAGTAAGCTTTATATGTTTCTGGCTTGGTAAAGTGCTTACGACTGCAGAAATTGGGAGAGAGGAAAGTGCAGATGACTCTCGAGATGCAACAGAATTCAACCTATTTGCCCTAAGCAAAACGATTACCGTTACCCTCATTTCTCTTTGCATATATTTGTCTCGAAATCCAAAATTTCATTTGCAACGGAATGAAAGCCAACTGAAATAACTGAACAAGAACTGATTCGATCATTTAGAGAAAAAGAAAACGAAATTGCGCAATTCAATTTTATCATTAAATAATCGAAATAAACAATTACTTTAATAAGAAAAACTACTTTTACAAAGTCTATAGAACTAAACTATAGAAAATCTATGCAAAATCTAAAACTATAGAAAAACTATAAATCGCGGATTCCTTACTACATTCCAATTAATTTGTCAGTCAATTAATGCGAATATTTAAAAGGATTCGCTGAAAGAAAAAAGCCAGCTAAACCATCCATCAACTTAACTTTAACACACTTGTACTAAAGACCCCAAACAGTCTTCTTGAAACGTATTCGCAAACTAAAGAAAAGAAAAGCAAGAAATACTTGTTTCAGTCCACTGGAAAGTCTCTTCCTGTACGTCAAAATATATCCACTAGAAGAATCTGAATCAGTAAGGTCAAAAGACCCTACTGAAAAGTTCAAATTCTTTTAACTATAAGGGATGGCCTAATGATAAAGAAACCAACCATTGAAATGTGAAATTTAACTATTAAAACGCCTACCACCCACCGAAAAACCTTAAAAAATTTTGAAATTTTATAAATAAAATGATCAACCATAATTAACCATAATTATATAATTTTATAAATTTTAGGCTTTTCTTTTTAAAATTAAAATTTCAAATAATTTAATTTCATACCAAATAATAAAGTTAAAAAAACAAAGATGAACTATTAATGTAAATAAATTTTAAGAGAGATTAATCGAAATAAATCATTATTGCTGGGTGGTTAAAGAAAGCAAAAGACAATCTACTTTACTACTAATGTAAATATTGACTTAATAAAATTCATTTTTTCGCTAAAAAATCAATTTTTAGCTATTAACATTTGCTTAATTTTTATTTAAAAAATAAAAAATATTTCAATTTTTTATTGGAAAACTCAAACTCCAATTAATTTTAAAAAGTTTCGTTAAAAGTCATTTCGTAATTATAACGGGTGTGGAAGAATGGCTCAGTGAGTCGTTGCCCTCATTTCGGAGCGCTCATGCTGGGGTTCTACTCCCTATGAAGGCTAAATTTGTCTTTCAAAAATTTGCGTGGTGCCAACGACCCACATCGAGCCATCGAGCACCATTCTTTCACCAATCATCAAATGACTCCCTTCAAAAATTCTTTGTACTAATAAAGCCATCTTAGCCAGAATGCTAGTGAAAAAAGCGTTAAATAACAGACTTTAAAAAAACAAGGAATACTAACGATCAACCAAACATATATGTGTGCTTATACAATTTATATATGATATGCCAAGCATTACATTATACCTACGCGCACTGATATCGATAACGATCGTGTATGCACTACGTTTGTACATATATTAACGTACCAGCCATAACACACAAATATATAAACTAATATCGATAACGACTGTGAATCATCATCTTCATATAATGTTGTAAATCGCATTTTCGATTAGCGATGAATGAATGAACAAGTGATGTATCTTAATTACTTTTGAGTTTTAGATAAGGAAAGTTTAGTTTTAAAGATTTCTTCAATAATAAATTATTCTAATACTTGTAAAATTTCTCAAAATAATAATGAATATAAAAAATTTCATAGCATTGTTTTGTTTATAAACAAATATAAATTAATATAATAAATATGATAAATGTCAAATTATTAAATTTTCAGCAAGAAAATTGTGAATTGTGAATCATTGAAAAATTTTTTTAAAATAAATAATAGTAAGAAAATTTATTGCTTAATGAAAAGTATGCGAAGGACTTAAAAACTATAAAAAAACAATTATAAAAGTAAAAGCAATAAATTCACTACATATTTTAAACTTTTTTTCACCCCTTGTAGGTGGTCATGATCATCCTCAATCTCGGGTCCTCCACCAGAGGCCTGGGAGATTGAGGGTTTTACGCATTACCTTAGCCATTTCTAATAAGGCGCGAGATTTCTAATGTTTTTCCTGGAATCTGCTGAAACCACTTTTTTTGTTTTAGGGATCACAGTTCCAAGTGCTCCATTTGTCTCCCGAATTACCTTTATTTTCCACATCTTACCTAGCTTCAGTCTTGGTTTTTTTTCTTCTTATATTCCTTCTTCCTTATATTCTAATCATTTGGTATTTCTATACCTAGCACCTGTGCTGATTTCCGATTCTTATCTACTACTTGATGCGCCGTTGATAGATCAGTAATTATTTATTACAAGAATCAGAAATCAGCACTGGTGATCGATGTAGCAGTAAAGGCAGAAACGACAGGAAGAAGGAACTAAAGAAGTTGGAAAAATACCAATGGCTGAAAAAAGAACTAGAGATGCAAAAAATAATCCCAGAGACAACTGGAGTGCTTAGGAAAAAATAACTAAACTGTGGCCCTTAAACTAGAAAAGTGGCTTCAGTAAATTCTAAGAACAACTTCACATCTCTATCTAGAAGAGCGCACTATTAGAACATGACACTGTGCAGAATCCTCAATCTACCAGATCTTTACTTTAGCGGACCCGAGATTGAGGGAGAGGGAGATTAAAATTATTTGGTTATGATTATTATGATTAATTGTTGGTAACCTTAATGATCTTAATATGCCAAATATAAACTGGAAAAATAATTATATAAAAAATAGCAGCAAACTTAAAGACTTACTAAATTTTTATGTTTAAACAGGTTTACATAGGTTTAGAGCAGCATGTTAAGATCGCCATCAACACCATATTAGACACTGTATTAGCTACCTTTTCCACTTCTTTCATTGATTGCATTAATATAAAAGAACCTTTTTGTAAGAGTGATCATAGTATCATTCATGGACTACTGTGAAAATCATTAACTCAGTCAGAAATCAACTGGAACTTCAGATTTGTCTAACTTACTCTATTGATGAAAAAGATGGTTTTCTTGACAACACCATATTATATCTCATAAACCAATATATTTAAAAAAAAGAGGTAAGCCTGTTTCCCTTTTCTTAAAATCTCTAAGAAAAAAATGTGTTAAGTACTCTATAGTAAGTAATCAATTATCACTCAAAATGCCAGATAACCTCTCTTTACATAAAGAATTTTTAAAAAATTTCCGTAATATTCATGAGTACTTTTGTACTTTTCAAATAAAGAATAGTTTTTAAATAGCAACAGAGATTCTTCCTGCAGTTATTTAAAAAAATTGCATTTCCAAGCAAACAAGAAGTTCTACGACAAAATGATATATTCCCATTGAAATCGATGTTGCAAGTATATTTTCCTAATCAATA